CAGCAGTTTTTGCTTGCAAATTTATTTTTAGGGAAATACGTGTTGTAAATTAGAACCACACAGCATAACAGCAGGACTTCTTATGCTACTTTATACTAGATTTGGGGTTGAAAGCAGGCATGTTGTGTCCATGGTGTTTTTTTTGTCATTGGAAACTCAGAGAATGAATGACAAGACTTGGAAAGTGGCTTGCGATACCTATGCCTTCCATTCTTTTTTGTAGTTACTTTTGTGCAGGTCTAGTATATTGTTAGCAGAATCCCTAATAGTTAAAATCGCCCTAAGCCTTATCAAGCATTTTGGTTGAATTCTCAAAGCTGTGTGCGCAGCATGAGTCTCTTAACCAAGGCTGGCGAGGGGCTGTTGCCCTCACATCTGCTGATGGTGGCTGTTAAGTCTAAGGTGAATACATTGGTGGCTTCTTTGGATGACACCTTGATAATACGTATTCAGGGTCTTCAACATAGCAAAGTAGTCTGATTATCTAGAAAGGAATGGGCCATTTTCTGTTGTCTTCCCAGATGCTTTAGCAGGGAGTTAGATGAGAAGAGGATCAGTTGGGACTTAAACTAGTCCCATATGGCATGCTGGTGTCACAGGCAAGCGGCTTAACCAATGTGCCACAACAAATACACTAAGTATTTGTGAAAACTTTTTTTGTTGTTGTTAACATTTTTCTACTTGTGGGAGTAAAATATTAATTGGGGTGAGTGTTGTGGTGTAGTGGGTAAAGCTGCTACCCGTGGCACTGCTATTCTATATGGGCACCGATTGGAGTCTTGGCTGCTACACTCAGATCCAGCTCCCTGCTAATGCCCCTGGGAAAACAGTGGAGGATGGTCCCTGGCAACCACATGGGAGTTCTGGATTCCTGGCTTCAACCTGGCCCTGCCCTGGCTGGGGAGTGAATGTTTTGTTTAAAATATCACCAGGTATTAACATTGGAACTTTAAAAAATTCTAAGTGAGGGAAATACTGAAGTTTTAAAACAAAAGTCAGAATTCGTGATATTATTACCAGCGGATATTTTAATGCTGTGTGCCCTGGAGCTGAAGTCAGCCAACCTCTTGCACGTGATATGGTGAGCATGTGTGGTGTGCTGTGGGCGGGTGTGTTCTGGCCATGGCTTGTTTTTTCTCCTCGTCTGGGGTTTTTCCAGACCAGAAGAGAGAGGAGGACAGGGAAACAAATATATAGGGGAATCTAGGATGGTTGTCTCTCTGACAAGGTAAGTTTTCTTGCATGTGAAAAAGGGCTGACCTGTGTGTGAGAGAGTTGCAAAAGTGTTGTTTAGCTGTGGTGGACCTGGCCACACAGGATTGTCCAACTGTCGAAACTGTGCAGGGGGAATGTGTGTATGTGCATGAACATATAGTCTTTTTAATTTGTTTTATTAATTTTCATCTACGTGAAGGGCTGGGGTGGGGATGGAAAGAGTGAGAGCAGTAGCTTGCATTTGTTGGTTCACGCCCAGAATGCCCACAAGAGCCAGGTCTGGACCGGGCCTGAGACAGGATCCAGGAGCTTGTCTGGGTCTCCCACTCAGATGGCAGGGTCCAACCAGTTTGCCATCACCCGCTGCCTCCCAGGATGTATTAGCAGAGAGCTGGATGGAAAGTAAAGTAGTAGGACTCAAACCAGCACTCCAGTGTGTGGAGCTAGTATCCTAGGCAGCAACTTACGCTGTCATACCCAGGGTATGTGTGTGTTTGTATAGTGGCCTACTAGTCAAAAAATAGGACACTATAGCTTCAAGTGTCTGCTTTTTTTTTTTTTTTTTTTAAAGAATAATAGTACTTTTGAAAACAGCTCTGATTGAATGAATTTCCTTCAGTGGTTATGGTTCTGTTGTAACTTCTGTGTGTGCCTCTAACCCTCCTTGTGGTCGGTGATGTTTATTTGTGAGGTTTACACCTGGGTGCTGTTGATGCTGGCTGAATATGTCAGGCTACTTGACCCAGGGACAACAGAATCATATTTCTTATTCTTGATCATGGTTCACTAACAGACAAAATAGGCCTCCGGTGGATTAAGATAACCGAGTCAACACACACTTACTTGTTAAATGCTTTTATGGCCATTGGTTCTTTCCACGTTCTTTCCAAGAGATCATGCGAGGCAACCTAATAGAAACAGACTTCACAGAGGAGCTTCCCATGTGCTAATATTTAAGTGGTGATAATGAGCCATGGAACTTCAAAGAACGGCTATCAAATATCGGGAGGTCATGTGCTAGGGTTAAAGTTGACGCTGGAATTTGTTTCCCTGCTTTTTAATAAATAAATACTTGAAGAAAGATTTGGCAAAAGCAAGGCACGTGCCTCTTGTGCCCATTCTGTCAAAGAGAACTCTCCTGTTAACAAGTTCCTGGAATGTTTACTTTGCTCTGACTGCTTCCTAGGGGTGTGTCAACTCAGCCTTGAACCAAGTGAGAATTCAAATAAACCTGAAGGGTTTTCATACAGCTGACCTCTTCTGCCCGTGAGTGGAGCCAATGGGTCCTCTATCAGGAGCAAGAGAAAAAGTTGAAAGGCCGTCCATGACATGATTCCCATGAACTGAATAAACTTGAGCGTGCGACTTTGGGAATTTGGAGTAGCTTATCAAAGAGAAGATATCAGAGCCTGTCATTTTTTATAAGCCGTTTTAAAGATACCTTGCAATGATTAGGATTACCCTTTCTTTGTGTAAATAAAAATGGGTGTGAAATTCTCATTTTTAGAATGTTGACAATGTAGCCACATTGTTACATTTTTGTTGTGTTTAATGGTTACAGTGTCTTTGTCCAGCCTAGACAGGTGGGAATGGGAGTCAAAATGTGCATACTTAGCTAGTATACTCTAGCTTAGTTTCTGGTATATAGTAGACACTTATTATTTGATAATGTTTAAGATATAATAAGAGTAGATAAATATACTGAGTTCGGATAACAGTTCTCATTAAATATGACTTTTAATGTACTGCTTGGAATTGTTGTATTAACATCTACTTTTCATTGTAAGAATTACTTAGGAAGTGCCTTCTGCTAAACATTAGAATTTTTCCAAGTTGAATATGTTGCTGTTCTTGCCTTCCAAGAGTACAGAGCTGTGTGACCAGATTAGTCACATGCAAGAATAATAAATACAGCGAGGGGCATGTGTCCAGGCTTGGAGGAGGAAGAATTACCGTCATTTGAAAGATGGCACATTGTTAATTTAATAATTTTTAAAATTTCTGTTGTTTATTTTCTGTCTCCCACTGCAATACAAGCAAAGGTGGAAGTTTTTGCCTTGCTACTTACTTTATTTAGGTATTTTTAATTGCTTCTTTCCCAAGCTTGTGGGATGGTACCTAGTATAAGACAGGCATTCCGTAAATCTGTTGCAGGAATGAGTGATTTTTGGTAGATACTGCCAAATTGTGCTCTCTTCCCTCCCAGAGAATTACAGTTTACATTTCTTCCAACCGTGTTAGGATGGTCATTTTTTTCTTTTTCCCACATTCTTGCTAGTGCTGGTTTTTGTGAGATTTTCTTGATTTTGCTAAATGTGCTGTACTGTCTGTGCATTAAGAAGCACAGAAGCAAGCCTTCCCTTGACAGGCATGCATCTCGCTGCAGTTTCTGCAGAAGGGATAGTCCGCCTGCTTTCCGTGAGTCTGCCCTTGCCACCTGTGCCGCAGCCAACATTAGAGCCCCGTTCTTTCTCCACTGAAACCACTTTTGTCACTACAGCTGTGACATCCATACTGCCTTTTTGCCAGGGTGTCTCATCTTACTCTGCCCCTTAGGGTTTGAAGCAGGGGATCATTCCCTTCTAGAAACACTGTCATCCCCCTCCCCAGACCCCACCTGTCTGGAGGAAACACTCTTAGAGGCATTCTTGCTGTTTCATTGCTTCCAGCTTCCACGGAGTCTCCACTTGTACTGCTTTTGCTGTTTGGTCTCTAAAGTTGGACTATCTCCAGGCTCTTACCTGGCGTCTCCTTCTCCATCCTCGACACTTATTCTTCATAGGGAGACCCCACCTGCGCCAAGCTTTCATATGCCTGTGCTGGCTTCTCCCCTCAGCTACGGACTGCTGTACACACTTGTTGGCTTGAAGGTGTTGGTCAAACTTATTTTGCTGGGTTACAACTGATAGCTAATCCTCTGTTCCATGTTCCTCATTTCAGTCAATAGGGCCATTAGGTATTTTATTACACTAAAACCCAAGAATTATCCTTAACGCCTCCCTGTCTCACACACCTTCAGCAAGTGCTGTTGGTTCTTCCTGTGGAATATGCTCTGACTCCAGTTCGTGTTTCCCTGCCTCATTGCTGCCTCACTGGCTGACTGCACCATGTCCTCATCTGCTCCCCAGGGTGATTCCAGTGTCTCTTGACTTTGGTCTTCGTCTTCCATTCTTGCCTGTGTCTCACCAGCCAGTGAGTTTTTGAAAACTTGAATGAAATGCATCACTTTTCTCCTTTAGGGGTTAGTTTGTACATTCAGAATAAATCTCTCAACCTTTCCCATGACCTTCAAAAATGGTTGTGATCCAGCGCAGGCTTTGCCTTGAACTGCTGTTTTCCTGGCTCAGCCCAGTGTCACCCTGGACTGTGAAGCCTAGTCCAAACACAGGCCTGTACTTGTTACTCTTTCTGTTTGTACAGTCATTGAGTCTGACTTCCCCACCAGAAAAAGGAGAGAAAACTAATAGTACTACCTCTTCGGGTTGCTGTGATGGTTAAGCCATTACACTGAAAGCAATGAAGTGGCACCTGGTACATAGGAAGCACTGGGTAAATGATGGGTACTATTTTGGTGTTTTCTTTATTGCTGTGTGTTTGGAAAAGCCTAGGAGGAGTGCATGTTGGTTGTGTGGAGTTTTAGAGGCACGTGAAGTATAAAAATGGAAATGTACAACAGAAATCAGTTTATGGATTGGGAAGTAAGTGATGTATCCTTAAGTGCTTGGGACTTAACATATTTTTTGCAAAGCTCTCAGAATAAGTGGTAGCTGTTATGCTCACAATGCTGGCTCTTCAGATGAAATATTTCAACAGTTTTGTGGTTTAGAATTTTCTTTTATCCCTTTTTAATGTTTCTGCAGTGATCCAAGGCCTGGTTTTGCTCCGGAAGTCTGCCCTGCCTCCTGTAGTCTGGCGCTATGCATCCAGATCTTGGGCCCTTATGGACATTGCTGTGTGTGATTCTGGGGCTGCTGTGCTCTTCTGCAAGCTCAGGTAGGAGGAAGGAGAGGCAGAGCTGGGGCTGAGGCCTTTCCTCTTCATAACCCAATAAAAACAAAGCTTGAATTAGCTATTTTGCCATTAATAGTGGTTTCTAAAACTTGATCAACTACCATAATTTCAAAACTTGGTTAATTAAGCAATTTAAGAATATCTTAATCCTGCCTTAGATATTACTTGGTCTTCCTGTAAGCATGTTTGTTACAACTGTGTGTGTGTGTGTGTGTCTGTCTGTCTGTCTGTCCCAAGGCTAGTATGTGGCCTGTGTGCATGGGTACAATAATGCTTGTTTAGGCAATATCAAAGTACTGTCTAGTTATGTTAGATGTAGTAAAGGAAAAATCAAGTTAGCAGTTTTCTTTTCTGTTCATGTTTTGTGAAGCAGTAACCACAGAATCAGCCAAGCACTTCTATTCTTCATTCCTGATTAGGTATCCCATAAAAAAGTGTATAGCATTTTTTCTTTTTAAATATTTTATTCTGTCAGATTAATATTATTCTTGTTCCCCTTCCCCTTTTGGGAGAATGGAGAGAATTGTTAGTGCTAATTTTAGTGCAAGAACATTCCTACCCCCAGTTCCTGGAGAAATAAAACAAATGAAATGCTTTTAAATACCAAATGAAATGTTGAAAATTTACATCTAAGAAATTGTATTTCAGTGTGGCTTCATAACTTTCTCTCTGTTTTCTTGGACATGATTTTATACTAGAGGCAAGGGATGAGGAAGTACCAGCAAGGCTTTCACTCACAGAATAATGTGCTCTCCCTACAGCAGATACCACCAGGAAAGGGCGAGAGAATTCTTTTTTGTTTTAGAAGTAATTTTTAGTTTTTTAGGTTGTGAGCCTTGAGTTTTAGAAGTCACTTTGTTAAAAAGAATAGTTTGCTATCCTCACGAAAAAATAGTATTGTGTATGATTTTTATCATAACTTGTAATGGTTAAGTCCCAGGATAACAATTTGTTTTCCTGCTCCCCGCTTTTTTCCTTCCAAAAGATGAACTTATGAGAAGTTGCTAGAAGTTACAAATATCAAGAACCATACCATGTGTCAATGAAAGATTGCATTAGTTACGCAGAGCCAGATGCCGTGTATTTAATATGCTTTTTTCTCTCTGTGTCACTCCCTGTCTTATAATCCCTTTGCCCATGGGGATATTCTCTTGCAGACTTGGCACCAGCCTTTATTTCTGAGCCTGTCTCTGCTGTCCAGAAACTTGGTGGACCTGTGGTGCTTCATTGTTCTGCTAAACCTCTGACTGCGCACATCTCATGGTTGCATAATGGAAGAAGATTAGATAGAAACGTGGAGCAGGTTAAGATGCGTGAGGGAACCTTGACAATTTTTTCTCTTAACCCCTCGCTTTCGGGTTCCTACCAGTGCGTTGCCAACAACAGCGTTGGTGCCATTGTGAGTGGCCCTGCAACAGTCTCCACTGCAGGTGAGTTTCATTTTGTCCCACTTGGAGATGAACTTTCTGAAGTAACTTTAAGTGTTTGTGGTTGTGGTTGGTAGGGAGAACGTGGGCTTCATTGTGAGGCATGTTGAGGTCTTATCCAGCCTTAACTCAAGCTGTGTGTGTAACTTGGGGAATGTGCTTCAACCTCCGTGAGCCTAGCCTAGTGACGTCATCAGTGACGATGGTATGGAAATGATTTTGCTGTTTAATTTGGACACTTTCCTGGTGAATTCTGTACAGTTTCTCTTTGTGAGTGCTTAAAAGTCCTTAATACCAATAACAAATACCAAAGCAATTATCTACTTTGATATTCAGTTATTTCATACAGTCTTATATCTTTATTTCAGATGAAATTTTTTATTTGCTTGGATTACTGAGTGATTTTAATTTATTAAATTGAAACCAGGCTAGAGAGGCAGGAAAAAAACTGACTGTAAAGAAAGGAATGTTGCGTATGAGCTTATGGAAAATCTGGAATGCGTGGGTTTTCTGAGTAGGTTTGAGCCATCTGCCTTTCAAACGGTGATGGCTTACAGTAATGGAAAACGTCTTTGCAAGGGCACCCCTATTTACAGAACAAATCTGGATTCCCCAGGAGCAGTGAGTTTGTCATAACTGAGAAGAGTAAATGTTTTTGTAGAGCTCTGACCCATGGACAGCTCCAAGACACACAGTGGAGCGCTGCATTCCTGGGGCAGGCTGCTGAGAGCTGAGTGCATTGGGAACAGTCGGGGCCCTTCCATGCAGCATCCATCCGCCTTACCGTAGCCAAAAAATCGGAGCCATCAGCTGCTTTGGTGTTTAATGTCCTGGGTTCGTTCCCAGATGTTGGACTACATGTGAATAACTACAAACAGAATAATGATACATTGGGGAAATGATTGTGCCTTCCTGTTCTGGTGGGTGTTTGAGGAGCAGTCTGCTTGCTTTGGTAGTCCCCTGATTCCTGGAAATGGGGCCCACACTTACCTCTCAGCCTTCAATCCTACATCTCCACTGCAGCTGCTTTCTGAGTTAGCAAGGTCATGTGGGCAGTGCTGCAGATGTTGTTTTTCATGTTTACATTTCCTTTGGGAAAAGGAATTCAGAATTGCATCTCTTTATCTGTTTCTTCTTTCAGTTCTTGAGGATTTTGATTCATCCACAAAACCCGTCATTACAGCAGAGGAAAGAAGTACTGGCTTCATTGCCTGTGGGGTACCAGCCAGTATCCCCAAAGCTGAAGTGCGTTACAAAATCCGGGGCAAGTGGCTGAAACATTCCACAGGTAAGGGAAAGCATCTGTGAAGAACCAGTGGCACACTCTGAGCACCTGTCAGTTAAATAACCCTCTGTGAAGTTCTGGGTGCTGGGGACTGAGGCTGTAGAAGTACCTGAGATGGCTTGTCTCCCAGAGGTCAAGTACAGGAGACTGGAATCATCACACCCGATGCTGTGTTCATGTACTCCTCTGTGTGTGTGTGTGTGTGTGTGTTTCTTTACCCTTTTTCTGCTGCTGGAGCATGGCTGTATCTTGTGTGCCTGGCCTGTTGGGTAGTAACTAGCCAATCAGTGAGCAGTGAGATGGAGGCCTGTCAGGGTCACCTCATCTTTCACTCAGCCTGGTTCCTTTTGTGGTGTTAACATGTCTCTGATAGGCTTGCTTTTGTTTGTGCTAATACGGTTAACTGGTTTTTGACTCTGCCTTGATTGCCCCTTCCTTGACCATTTGCTGCTAGTCTTTGTGTCTAAACCTGAAGCACAGTCTTCCCCTTGGATAGTTGTCACTGTGTTGAGGTGGCCTTCAAGTGCAGAGGCTTAACTACTTCCTTCCTTCCTCTCTCCCTGCCTCAGGGAATTACTTCATCCTTCCCTCAGGAAATCTCCAAATTCTGAATGTATCCACAGAGGACAAAGGGTCATATAAATGTGCAGTTTATAATCCTGTCACCCAAGAATTAAAAGTGGAACCTGTTGGCCAAAAGCTCCTTGTGAGTCGTAAGTATTTGGAGGGGAATGGTAACCACAAAAGCATTTCTCATAAAAGGTTGAGAAATTAGATTTTACGTTTTTTTCCTACCTCCTATTGGTGTATCATCAGAAAGTAGACATATGAACGCATTAGAGAATAGCAGTACACATATTTTAAAAATACAAAGGTATGGAGATGGCAGTTTTGGTCCAGGTGACAAAATGGAATGGGAAGAATTTTACCCTTTGCTCAAATACAAAGAAATTATAGAGGAAATACAGTTATATGTCAGTGATCGTCAAATTGACAGCTGTGAACTGGGACAGGAAAGTGAGAGATTGGGGTGCTTTGTCTCAGATACAGTAAAACTCATTGCTGATTCTTTGGTGATAGCGTCTTATGTGGCAAGGTTTCTGAACTTGACACTTCTGCCTTTCCACTTGACTCATGCTGAGGTAACCCTGAGGGACCACACATGTTTTAGTTCTCAGCTTACTCTGTGCTGACTTCCGCACAGGACCTAGTAGCATAAAGAGAAGTAAGTGGGAACACAAGGATCCACAAAGCTTTAGCTCAGGAAGACACCAGCAGCGTGTCCTAACTCATACACCTCTGTGTTCCCCTCCTTTTGCAGGCTCTGCCACAGACGATATCCACATCCTTCACCCCACTCTTCCTCAGGTGGTAGCTGTCCTCTCTCACAGTGCCGTGACCCTAGAATGTGTGGTGAGCAGGGTCCTGGCCTCACCAGTGCGATGGCTGAAGGACAGGCAGGAGGTCGTGCTGGGGAGGACCTGGAGGAGGTGGCACTCTCACCTGACCACAGATAGCATTGACCCAGCTGACGCCGGGAACTACACCTGCATGGTGGGAAGCCCCTCGGGAGAAGTAAAACACGTGACATACACGGTTGATGTACTTGGTAAGGTGTTACTAAATACTTTTTTTTTGCATCAGGCTATTTTTCTGAAATGCTCGTGTGTTTCAGGGAAAGACCTATATGTGAACTAGAAACAAAATAGGAAATATTTACACCAGTAGCACAGGTTTTGTTTTTCCTAAAAGACTGCTGAGTTGCTTTTCACAGTTGATGTTCTTGGGAGCTTTGCCCCCAGCGTAGTGATATAATGCAGAACTTGTTCTCCCACATTCATGATGTGGAGGAAAGAAGCTGGAAATCAGTCAACTGGAAGATTCCGGGTCGTGTCTGTGTGTGGTGTACAAAAACAGAAACTAAGAGAACCAACTGGCGACTTCTTTGTCATCTAACAAAGAAGCCTGTTGATTTAATTTTATTTTCTCTTTTGGAATCACTTCTCTTTGGCTCATTAAGTCTGCATTATTTTACCACATTTCCATATACAGGTTGAGCATCCCTAATTGAAAATGCCTAAAATGCTCTGAGATCTGAAGCTAAATTAGATTTATTTATTAGAGAGGGTACACCTGCACACACATTTCAATCTATTGGCTCATTCCCCAAGTGCTTGCAGTCAAGAGCCTCTGGCTGGGGCTAAGACCAGGAACTGGGAACTCGGTCCAGGTCTGCCTCGACTGGACTGGTAGAGGAGCCCAGCTCCTTGGGTGGTCATCACTGCTTCCAGGCTCTGGGTTTAGAGGTAGATGCAGACGTTGGACCACGACACTTGGGATGTGGGACGTGAGCATCCTAGGTGCTGGACTGAAAGTGCACTTGTTGGCACTTTCTGAGTGTTGCTATTATACTGAACAATTTCCGAGTTTGCAATATTTTCACTTATGAATGCCCAACCATTAAAGGCTAGACAAATACTCTGAAGCACTTCTGGTGCTAAGCATTTTGCTTGAGTAAAACTGTATCCTGTATTTGCTTCCTCTCAGAGCTGTTGCATCTTTTTCTGCTAGTTATCTCATTGTCAGGTGAAACAGCAAACATGTTTTGTTTTATCAAAGATTTTTCATGAAAATCAGGGGAAAAAAAGGGTGGGAACTCCTTCATAATAAGTAAGTTTTTTGGGGTAAATCATCTACATATTTATTTACACCATGGCCTGATATAGGTCAGGAACACTGAAGTTACAATAAGTGTGTGTCAAGTAGACTTTGACATCCAGTGATAATCAGGACTACGTGAATACATGTAATCATTTAACTTAGGAATACACTATAGATGTTGTTAAATGTTCTACTTTTTCTGAGTAAAAAGTGACTTGATGGGTCTAAAGATTATTTTTTGGAGGAAGCCTGATGTATACACTTAACCTCAAAGTAGAATTGGCTATAAAAATAAGTTAATCTCATTCAGTGTTCTTCTGTCTTGGCTTTTGTCTGGTTTGAAATACAGAAAAACTGTTATTTTATTTCAAACTAATCATCTTAAATAAACAAGCGAAGCACAGGTTTATAAATTGTATGTGTATGTGTGGGGAGTTTAGAGGGTGGAGCGATCTATAAAAGGAGGCTAACATATTAATTACATATGGTTTATCCTATTAGTGGAAGTTGAATACATTTCTGATTTTTTTCTTAGTGACCACAGCAGATGGAAGAATGTGAATAAACAATACAAGTTGGTTTCTACTAGTTATTGGGGGAGAGAAGATTTTATGTGAGTTGAGTGATAATTTAAAGAGTACATCTGGAGGGCTCGAGTTTAATTTGTGTGTTTTGTTTTCAGAGCATGCCTCAATTTCGGCAGGCCTGCAGGACCTGACAGTGCCTCTTGGTGCCACAGCTCAGTTTACCTGTGAAGTTCATGGGAATCCTATGCCCAACCGCACCTGGCTTCATAATGCCCATCCCATCCCCCCTTCCCCACGACATGTGGTCGTAGGGAATGAACTGAAAATTAGTGGGGTTACTCTGGAAGACACCGGACTGTATCAGTGTGTGGCAGATAATGGGATTGGATTTATGCAATCAACTGGAAGACTTGAAATTCAAAAAGGTAGGCCTTGAGTCCCTGTAATCATTTTTTCTTTATAGATTGGTTTTAGTGACGTAGTTCAAAATGAAACCACTTTTACTGAAAGAAAAAAATGCCACAGTGTTCACATTTCTGGCTAGTGGTAGATAAACATTTACATGAAGAAGCAACCTGAGTTTTCAGGCTTATTAAAAGTATATTTTTAAAAAGATTTATTTATTGATTTGAAAGGCAGAGTTAGACAGAGAGCGATCTCACATGCACTGTTCCATTCCCTAAATGGCCACAGTGCCAGGGCTGGGCTACGCTGAAACCAGGGGTCTGCACTTCTGCCCATAGGGGTGGCGGGGCCCCAGCGCTCAGGCTGTCCTCTGCTGCCTTCCATGTGCATTGGCAGGGAGCCTGATCAGAAATGGAGCGCCAGAACTTGAACTGGTCCTCATAAGGGATGCCAGCATCACAGATAGTGGCTTCATGTGCTGTACTGTGTCACTCATCCTATAAAAGAATATTTTTTAAGAAACTATCTGTGCAGCATTTACTACATAGTTTCAAAATTGTCTGGTGATCTCTTATTCGTGTTTCCCAGACCAATCTGATTTCTTCTTTAGAATGAACTAGCTTTGTTTATTTTTTGAATGCCTTTGTGAACACACAAGCAGTCATGTACAATGTATGTGAGGTTGCATTTTATAATAAATATTTTATAATATAATTGGTGGCAGCATTTGAGAGGCAAGCACAAATACACACACATATACAGAGTTCCCATCCGCCTCTACCTGCGGCAGCCAGAACTGGGCCAGGGCTGAAGCTGAGAGCCAGGAGCTGCATCCAGGTATGCCATGTGGATGGCATGGACTTGGCTGCTTGAGCCTGTCAGGGTCTATGTTAGCAGGAAGCTGGAGCTGAGGGTTGAGTGTAGACACTCTGATAAGGGAAGTGGGCATCTTACCTGTAGGCCAAATGCTGCCCTGGACACTTTCCTTAACATTTTCTGGTTAACACAAATCTTGGCTGTCTTCTCATATGTGTGCATAAAGGGATATTTTCTTTTCTAATTGAGTTCTTCATATTCCATTGCATTAATGAGCAGTATGACCTAGTACCTTAGTGGCTGTTTCTAATCTTCTGATGTTACAAACAGTTTTGTCATGAATGCTTCTACAAAGATCATTTGGCTGTGTACCAGAGAACACATTTCTAGAAATGAATTGCAGAATAAGAACAGATGTGTGGTTTTGATTGGTACTATTGTCTTGCTGTGCATAGTGGTTGCTTGTTTAACTCCCACCAGCAATGTCATTCCCTTACCTGCTTCCCCAAACCCTTCCTGAGGAGGAGTAGCATCAGTTTTTAAAAATCTTACCCAAAGTAAAAAAGGAAATGCCTTTCAGTCTGCATTTAATTTTTTTAAAGATTTATTTTATTTTCATTGGAAAGGTGGATATACAGAGAGGAGAGACAGAGAGGAAGATCTTCTGTCCGATGATTCACTTCCCAAGTGAGCACAACGGCCGATGCTATGCCGATCCGAGGCCAGAAGCCTCTTCCAGGTCTCCCATGTGGGTGCAGGGTCCCAAAGCTTTGGGTCATCCTCGACTATTTTCCTAGGCCACAAGCAGGGAGCTGGAAGGGAAGCGGAGCCACCAGGATTAGAACTGGTGCATGCACATATGGGATCCCAGCGCATTCAAAGCTAGGACTTTAACCACTACACTGTCGTGCCGGGCCCTCAATCTGTATTTAATTTTGAATGAATTTGGGCTTTTTTCTTTTTTTTTTTTTTTAGTTTGGACTTTTTTTTTTTAGTTGGGCATCTTTTGAAATGTTTTCTTTCCTGTGTTTTGAATTTTCATTCTTTCATATAAAAATCTGGATTATTAACTCCTTTTTCTTATTGGTGTAAGAGATGTGTATAAAAGAAAGTTAGCCCAGGCCACTGCTATGGTATATGAAGCTAAGCTTCCACCTACAATGCTGGAATCCTGGTTCAAGCCCCGGCTGCTTCCAGTTCTGACCAGCTCCCTGCTGGAAAAGCAGTAGAAGCTGGTTCAAGTCCTCGGACGCCTGTATCCACATAGGAAACTCACTAAGAAGCTCCTGCCCCCCTGGTTTTGGAAAGGCTCAGCTCTGGCTGTGGCAGCCATTTGGGGAGTAAAGCAGTGGATGGAAGATCTCTCTTTGTCTTCCCTTTTTCTGTAACTCTGCCTTTCAAATAAAGATAAAATAAATCTTAAAAAAAAATAAAGGAAGTTAGTAAGACTGAAATATGGTGAGCTGAGTAAAAGTACAGCAGAACAGGTGAACGCAGCGCAGAATAAAGAGCCTGTACAACGGGCAGCGATGTAGTAAATAGAAAGTGAAAAGGAGATGGAGAGCATCAGTGCAGACAGAAGTTAGTCCTTTGAAAAATCTGGTAAAGTGGACACATCTCGGAAGAGGAACAAGAGCAGAGAGGCAGCAGCAAGCAGCATTAGGAATAAAAATGGGGTGGAAAGTACAAGGCTCATAGAGATTCTAATAGTTTTCAAATACAGGCAGCCATGGGCCAATTCTGAGCTTAGTGAGCCGACAAAAATGAAAAGCACAGATGGTCCTGCAGCTACGGAGCACACTGCAATAGCAGTTAAAAATCTTCCCACAAAGAAACACCAGGCCTGATGGTCTTGGGGAGGGTTCTGCCAGACTTTTAGTAATAGACCTTTCCAGATGCTACACAGACTGTTCCAGAGAAAGGGGAAGATGGAAACTTTCCAGTCAGCATGATCTTGACTCCAGAGTCATGAAGGAACGGTGCAGCAAAGGCAACCCAGATGCCAGTCTCAGTTATGAGCCTAGGCGCAGATTTCTAACCACACCGTTCCGCAGCCAGCAGCGTATATAAAGAGAAAATACATCTTACAGGAGTTACCCAGGAATCTGTCTCAAAGGAGGAAGTATGATCGTCTCATTAGAAGTAAGGAAACAGTGGACTTATGCTTAAAAAATGAAAATAGAAGGGAGCTTTCTTTAGATCTGTTTGTTTATTTGAAAGTCAGAAGTTACAGGCGGAGGGAGGGACAGAGATATCTTAAGTCCGCTGGTTCACTCTCCAAATGGCCATGTGACCAGGGCCAAGCCCTAAGCCAGGAGCCGGGAGCATCATTCGTGTTTCCCAGATGGATGTTAGGAGGTCAGGCACTTGGGCCAGCCACTGCTTTCTCAGATCATTAGCAGGGAACTGGATCACAAGTAGAGCAGTGGGACTTGAACTGGTGTCCATTGAAGATGTCGCTGACACAAGCAGCAGCTTTACCTGCTGTGTCAGGGAAACTTGGGCTGCAGAAAAAAAAAAATTTTTTTGACTAAACAGTGTTTTACAAAAACCAGTAAGACACATCATCCCCCGCTGCCCCAAGATTTATTTATTGTTGCAGTGCTAGGTGTCCTCTGCAGGCTCCAGTGTACTGCCATATCCTCCATGTGCATCTGGCTATGCTGTCCACTGCTTCGTCTAAGCCACTGAGGAAGCCCAGCTCTGACACATGCACTCCACAGTCAGACCATGGAACCTGCAATTTTCTCCATGGTTGGTGTTCTGAGTCCAGCAGTTCAGTTGGGGGGGATTCCCAAAGAAACTTCATCTGAGGTGATTCCGGACTTAGATCTGTAACTCAAATTTCCAATTTACAAAGCTGTAGCTGTGAAATCTATCTTCACACTTAAAAATTAAAGGAGAAATTTATTTAAAAATACCGAAGCGCTGCCTATTGTACAGATTATAACTAGCAAAAATCATTTTACGTCAGGAATTGTATATAAAGATGGGTTGAGTTTCAGAATCCTTGCCTATCTCTAAAAGTTTGCACTCTCAAGCACTACCAACCAATAATGAAGGGATGAGAGTGCTCTGTCTTACCTGGCCCTGGAAACTGGCATCCCCGAGCCCTGGCAGCAGCCCACAGATTGGCAGACAGCTGCTGAGGGTTCTGATGCTGTCATATCAGCTCTGTTGCAGTTCTTTCTCCAAGTGAACAGGCGGCTCGCAGGGCTCTGACACGGCCTTCTCCCTCCGCCAGCTGACAGTTTACAAGTGTCACCAGTTTCCTTTGCATTGGATGGCTCAGTGTGCTCTGGTTCGAACTAGCTACACCTTTCCCTCTGCTTAATGGTTTTAAGTAGAGTGCCAGATCCTCAACACATTTCTTTGTAACCTCATAGTGTTTATTCTCACCTAAATTACTTAACTTTATCGACTGATGATCTGGTACCTGGGCTCCCACTAAATGGAGAAGTGCAAAATTGACTGTAAGCACATCAGTGTCTGTTAATGGCAGTCTGGTCAAATGGACAAGCCTTTTCAGTGAAGTTCAGTGAAGTTTATGCAGGCAGGTCTTGCAAACAGTGTTTGCACGTTCTCATCAAATCCATTATAGCAGACTGGACAGGACAGAAACTGTCCGTTGAGGTGTCTGCACAGGCATCGTGGAAGCTGTGTGCTCGGGTTAGCAGTCTAGCAGGTCATTCTTTTGCTGTGTAGTGTTTTGTAAACTGAGGGGACCAAGGCTGGGTCTGCTAAGTGCCACTCCCAGGAGCCCTGCAATGGTGACTGAGTGCCACATCTTGCCGGGCAGAGCTCGGCGGTGACTTCACAGCCTCAGACTCCATCAGGAGCTTACAGGGACAGCCCCAATGACAGTGGCGAAGGTCGCAATGGGACCTCCTCCTCCCTTCGCCTCTTCCTCAAAATTAAATCTTAACTCAGGCCATATGGACAAAGACAAGTCCCAGTAGATTCAAGACTTCAGTAGGAAAGAAAAACTAGAAGTGCTACTAAAGGAAATATTGGAGAAGACAGGATCTGTGGGTAAGGCTAACTTAAAGAGATATTACTTCATTGAAATAGCAGTGTCCTGGTTATTAAAAGGTACTTTTAAAAAATGAAAAGAGAAAAATTAAAAGATACTAGCAATGTTCATAGTTAACCCAAAGAGCTATATTTGGTATATACAGAGACCTCTGAGCCATGACAAGAAAGATGAGCAAACCCACAGAAAGCTAGAGAGAAGGCGTTTCACAGAAGGAAGATGTGACTGTCACATGCTCACGTGGTGACATTCAGCTTCATGATTGCTCAGGGAGTGAGGTTGTGATCACGGGGATAGCGTTTCATACAGAATCAGAAACTCAGTCACGTTGAGACCGGCGGAGGTTGATTTTTGTCAGACTTGGGAAGTGGCATTAGAGAAGAAGAAAAACCTGCTGGATAAAATGCCATCTGCACGATCAGTATTCGTGCCAAAATTATTTAAAATGCCAAGAGAACAGCCTGGGTTGCCAATTAATCTGCCACCTGCAATGCCCTCACCACATTGAGTGTCAGTTCTAGTCCTGGTTGCTTCACTCCTGTTCTGTCTCTGCTAATGTGCCCGGGAAGGCAGCTAAAGCTGGCCCAGGTCCCTAGTCCCTGCTACCCACCTGACCTTGGCTTCAGACTGATCCAGCCCCCACTCTCCTGGCCACTGGGGAGTGAACCAGTGGCTGGAGTATCCTTCTCCATCTCTCTCTCTAACTTTTCTCATGTTAAGGTCTGAGGTTTTACATTCACATATTCTATGTTTACAGTGGTTAAATCTGTATAATCTCCTTTTTGGAGTGTTCTCAACAGTTTTCTTTATATATTCTTTTTGAAGGACAGGAAGTCTGTAGAAAATGATTAGGAGCCCACAGCTATGAAAAATTCTTTTTGTTGGCAGTTTTGTGGTTAAAGCTAAAAGTCTGTCTTTGTTCTGATCATTACTGTGGCATTTACACAGCAGGTTGAAGTCCTTTCCATTATAGATACTATAATATTGTTAATTCTTTGTGGATTTTTAAACAGACAATGGATTCAGACCAGTTATAATCACAGCACCAGCAAGTACGGAAGTGGTAGATGGGGACTTTGTCACCCTGTCCTGTAACGCCACTGGAGTGCCAGTTCCGGTCATTCGTTGGTATGACAGCCACGGACTCATCACCAGCCATCCATCTCAAGTCCTTAGATCAAAATCCCGAAAATCGCACTCCGTCGGGCCCCAGGGCTTGCACCCAGAGCCTGTCTACTTCATCATGTCTCGGGCTGGCTCAAGCTCTCTCTCCATTCAAGCAGCTACTCAGGAGCATGCTGGGAAATTGATCTGTGAAGCTACAAATGAGCATGGCTCCACACGGTCAGAAGCATTTCTAACAGTTGGTGAGTTGCTGTTAATGTTTTACGTGAAAATTTCCCTTCGTAGTAGAAGAGAAAGTGGTTGAAATTTGTTATTTTAATCAATCTAGCAATTTGAAGATAGATTTTTTTTTTCTCTCAATGACAGTGAAATGTAGAAGTATATTTTTTTGGTGTTTGCCTTGATGTGAATCAGAGTGATGTTTTTCTAATTTAAGCTTGTAGTCATCATATAGAAAGTTCATTCTGGAGCAAATTGAAAATATGGCTGATGTTAAGGATTCATGCTTTCAGTTTTCTAAAGCTACTGAAAAAAAATCATTACTGTTGTTACTTGGCTTGAAGACCTTGCTAGATTTGCCTTTGAGAGGCCAACTATCAAAGGTAGTTAGTGTTACCTTGATCAAGGGCTGCTAAAGTCCCTTCCCTGGGTATCTGCTTGAGTGGGTCACCTTGGGGTCCTCTTCTGTCCAGGTCCTTACGTCCACAGGTCAGGAGGCCGTGGGCTGCTTCCAGAGGCTGCAGTGCTTGCTGCTCCTTCTGGACAGATCTGAGCCTCCAGAACTCCCTGCTGCAGTTGCTTCACAGTCTGCTTCTATGGCAGGTGTTTTCGCTGGCCCTCGTGTGTAGCTTGGACCACACTTACGAGGGTGTGGGTACCCTTAAACCAGATGAGTGGCCACTGGGTGATGGTGAAAGGGTGGACTGAAGTACATGTACATGGCTGTTTCCTTTCCCATGTGTACAAGGTCCCTTTATCCCTGGAAGGAGCTACAGTGAAGTGGAGAAAGCCAGGGACTTCCTGTTATGCCTTCATACTACTCCCAGAGTGTGGAGAGGTCAGAGTGATGTGGAAGTGAAGCTTGGCAGGCTCTGTAACTTGAGCCAGTTACTGAACTCTGTGCTTGGTTTCTCACCTGTGTAACAGGTATAGTGAAGCAATTACTTTATGTAATTGCAGGGTTTAAGGAGCAGGAGACATAATAGTCATAGCTGATGGAACTAGATATTTTGTTGAACTTCTTCGCTTCAAAAATATGAGAGATCTGTTGCTCTTGGAAGTTATATAAGCTGATGTAAGATTGGAAGATCTTTAAGATTTTGTCCTGCTGTAGGGTTTTAGGTCTCAATGAAAATCCTTTTTGTGTATACTGATCCCATCCACTAATATCCTGCTTTGGTGGTCCCCATTGACTCTATGACCAGCTCTGTAATTGTGAAGATCCAACTGCATTTTTTAGCACTCGGAACAGTGCACAGCAAGCTACTTACTTCTTAGCCTTACCTAATTCTAAAATGTTGCTGTCATTCCTTTGTTTGTTGTGAAGATAGGAACAAGTGAGGTCGCTGAGAGATGACTTGGTGCTTCCTTTTGGTCTTCCTGGAGACCTTGAGTTATGAAATCCTGTCTGTATAAACATTTAAACAGTGAGTTACAATGGTACAAGACGATGAGTGTTGTCTGGGTTTCCTGAGTAGTTTGTGGTAGGAGATTTTTGCTTTGAATGGTCCTAGCAGGGACCTTGTAGACAGATCTGCTTTTATTTCCTCTTTATTTAGTTTCAACTCAGTCATTAAATTCATTGACATTGTTCTTTTTCTCAACTTTTCTCAATTTCTAGATATCCTATCATTTCACAGCATTGTTTTGATGGTTAATTGGGATAATATATGAGAAACAATTTTTGAAAGTACAGGTCATGCTCCAGTTAGGATGGTTTACCTTAAAAGTGTTCAAGTTTTATTTAAATATAATATAATATTTATTTATTTGAAAGGTAGATTTACACAGAGAGAAAGATCTTCCATCTATAGGTTAATCCTCAAATTGCTACAATGGCTGGAATCGGGCTGGCTTGAAACTGTCCTATGTGATAGGATTGGAGACAGTAGAAAACAGTTCCCTGAATCTCCGCTTTAATGAAAGTGTTGGAGATGGACTGGCATGGTAGCACATCAGGCTAATCTTCTGCCCTATGACTCTGGCATTCCATATGGTTGCCAGCTTGTGTCTTGGACTGCTCTGTTTCTGATCCAGCTCCCAGCTTGTACCCTGGGAGAGCAGATGAGGGTGGCCCAAGTCCTTAGGACCCTGCATCCATGCGGAAACCCAGAGAAAATTCTTGGATCCCAGCTTTGGTTGAGTTTTGCTTTGAATATTGCAGCCATTTAGGGAGCGAACCAGCAGACAGAAGACCTCTGTCTGTAAAATCTGCCTTTCAAAAAAAAAAATAAATGAAATGTTAAGAAGTAAAGAAGTGGTGCAGTCTCCCTGCTTCCTGAATGACAAGTGGAATTTAGGTACCCATGTGGCAAGATGTGTTTCTCACACCTGTGTGTAAACTCTTCTGCAGCCAAGTGCCGATTCCTGGCAGGAAGTTGCCCAGGGGAGCCGGAAAACTGCAGAAGATTCATCAGCCCTTTCCACTCCCGTCGCTAGAGTCCATTTCTCCCCCTGAACAAGCTCCACAGCCGCCCCATGCCTCCAGTGCACCCGCTGACTCACTAAATAAACACGCCTGTTCCAGGAGCAATATTTGCAAATTGTCTCTGAGACTTTAGTCAGTTTCCTTCTACATTATTTCCTCACTAGCTTCTTGTTTGCTTGGATGAAGGATGCCCCTGGGACTCCTTTCTCTCTTACAGACTAACAGAGAGCTGACCTTAAACCGCGAGGCCTGTGTCCCATGGTTCTCCACTAAAGCCCGGTAGTCCTGACAACCCACCTTCCCTTTAGCAAGAATCTGACTTCACGGTGGGAATGAGACTGCAATGTTGTCCTCCTGCTTCCACCTTCCACCACGGGCATGAAACCCTTTGGTTGTCAATCTGAACAACTCGTTAGGGCACGTGAGTGCCTTGGCTTTATTGTGTGGGTGGTGTGTCTTCATAAACTGCTCTTCTTTTTAGAGCAGCCTCACTCATATTCTCCTGACAGTTTTTGTCACTTGGTGCCTCAGAACTCTGGTTTCCTCATTTATAAAGTGGGAGTGATCTTATTCGCCAAAGAATGTTGTTCAGGGAATGAAACAAGATCAGATTGTTCAGAACTGTGAGGGGGCTTCAGAAAGTTCTTGGAAGGTTTGTGATCTTCATCCCACAAACTTTGTGAAGTCTCTGTACGCAACATTTGGAATAGTCTCATAAAATACACTCAACGTTTTTTAATATATAAATTTATTTTATTTTGATGATGTTTACATAGTTGAGAAGGATGTATGTCCATGTGGACCACTTATTAGGGTGGGTTGGGCCGAAGAATGGGGGCAAATGGATGAGATAGGTTTTTTTTTCTTTCTGTATTTTGCGAGGCAGGGGAGAAAGGGAAACGGGCTCTCCCAGCAATGCAACCTCATCAGTAACCCGGAGTAGCGGGGAGGGAATGAGAGACAGTCACTTGATGTTGTCCTAGGGTCCCCAATGTGGAGCATACTACAAGGGTACTGCTTAAGTGGTTCCAATAGTTCTGAGATGCTGTTGATTTCATTGACCCAAGATTGAGGCGATCCTTTCAAAATCAATGATCAATGATTTTCTTTGGAGATCGCAAAGCCCACTCAGTTTTTCAGTTCCTGTTAAGTTATTTTGCTTGCTCTGTGGACTCTGCACACCACTGGTAGTGTTGTGAAGGCTACCAGCTTGCTTTGTCTCTAGTCTGGCAGTTTCTGACTCAGTCCTTGGTTCTCTCCAGAAGTTGAGTTTGAAAATCAGTAACTTCTCTTCCTTTGGCTGTGCTGGTCTGATTCCTGTCATTTCTTCCCCTTTCCAGAATGTAGTCTATCTTCTGTGTGGTATAGCTGTCTGCTGGGTGTGTTGCTGTCTGACTGTCTACCCAGAAGATTGATGACTGAATACAGCAGCCCCCTTATGAACTCCTGTTTCTTGGGGTTCTAGATACAGCTGTGCATGAGGCTAGTCGCTTAGGTGGTTGTAATTAGATGGCTGAAACTGTGCTGGGGCACATGTCTGAGGCTTTTGTGGGGCTGCACCCCCACCTATTTCTCTCTCTCTCTCTACTCTCCATAGTTTGGACATCTATATATGGTGGTGGCTGGACCCCAAGAGCACAAGTTAATGTATAAGTACAGGGGAGGACTGCCTGGGGCGTGAGTACTGGCAGGACATGAATATAGGTTGAAACTTGCTACTCAGTTAAGAAGGGCCTAAATCTTGACCATTTCCTGACTATCCATGTCACTTTGCTCCCAAAGTATGTTATTGCTTGTGTTTCATTTGCCAACTGAAATTGAAGCATAATGATCTTCAGCAATTAAACTAACATGTCATTGAAAAAGGAGAATATTAATGTAGAGGAAGGAAAAAGAATTTTAAAAACCTTTAAACTGCTAAACTATTGCATCATATAGTTGATTTTTTTGAAGAACTTATTTGCTCTCTCATCAGTGAGAGATGGCTGGAAGTTAGATGCTTCCATAAATTATAAATTAAAATGCTGCGGCTTTAACTTTGGCTCAAATTGTGCTAATTATATCAATGTGGGCTGTTAGATCACTAACAGGGTAGAAGACATTGAAAGAATGAGTTTCTTCAATCCGTCTCCCCTCATTCTCTCTCTGCAGTTCCTTTTGAAGCCAATACAAAAACAGAAACAGTCACTCATTCAGATGCTGCTCAGAATGATGAGACAAACGGCTCTGAGAGTACATTGCCGAGCCCGCTGCCAGGCCAGGCGCATCCCAGTGCTGGGGAGTTGCCCTCAGAGAAAAATGCCCGTGGTGCGTCCGTTCCTGATGCTCCCATCATCCTAAGCCCTCCTCAGACTCAGACCCCAGATACGTACAACCTGCTGTGGAGGGCAGGGAAGGATGGTGGCCTGCCCATCAACGCCTATTTTGTGAAGTATCGCAAGGTAATGTCTTCTTTTTTATCTACTTTCTCTCCTCACCCTCTCGCTCTGCTTCGGTAAAGAATACTTACTGTCTTCCACATTGTGGACTGACAGAAAGTGGAATAGGATTGTACCAAAATGATGGTCCGGGAAATCCGTCGTCATGCTGGGCTGAGCAGAGATAGCCTGCCAAGCACGTTGAGTTGTCAGCAGCAAACAAGCAATAAGAACATGGCCAACAGTATTTTCCCCCAAGATTGGGATTCTTGAGTGCAAAACTCCAAAAGCTACTTTTAAAATTGTAATTCTTTTCCTTTCTAAGATAGTAGAATACTTTTATGTAGCAGCTAAACTAGTTTCTTATTAACACAACAGTTTGAACGGAGTCCCCTGGTGTAGTGCTGACAGTTGCTTACATTTCGAGTTGTGCTACTATTAGTTGTTCATTTATTTTGGTAAACCTTTGGCCTCGTTTTTGCCTTTGTGAGTTCAAATTAAGGCAAAATGAAAAGCTCCTTTCTTTAATGAGACTACTCAGTGAATGGAAAGAGATGGTAGATACTTACATTTGACGTCATTTTCTTTGCCTTAGATGTGTTGCTGTAAATCATTTACTAGTGATATTTGTAATGTCAGAAAAAGCCAACATGGTGATATTTAAGACTTTCTCTGTTGTCCTAAACTGATTCTGGATGAGGAATGTGAGTTTTGCTGGTTGTTTATCTGTCCAAAAACTTCCAGGCCATGTGTATTATGTATTACCAATAGTGTTTGTTATTGAGTCCTTATTTTCCCAATAACCCAGTAACAAAGGAGCTGTTGTCTCCATTACAATAAAGGAGACGGACTCTAGGGGGCAGAAAACATAATTGAGACCACACGTTAGTGGTAGATGGTAGAGCCCAGAACCTTTCCAGTGAGAATTCCTAAGTTCTTGCTACAGGTCTCCTTTATAATTCCTACTTTGAAGTATTCTGTCTCCTTTATGTCACATCCCAAAACTCCTCTAGAATGGAATGAATTTACGTTTTTATCAATTTGATCAAAAGGCTTTCTGCCCTCTCTGATTTCTCTGGAGCAGCTGGATGATGGAGCTGGTGTGGTGGGAAGCTGGCACACGGTTCGAGTCCCAGGAAGTGAAAATGAGCTCCATTTAACTGACTTGGAGCCGGCTAGTCTGTATGAGGTCCTGATGGTGGCACGAAGCGCCGCCGGGGAGGGACAGCCTGCTATGCTCACCTTCCGAACCAGCAAAGGTGAGTGTGATTTTCCTCTGCAGGAATGAGCTGCTTCTCAATGTCAGCTTATTTGTACAACTCCCTTCTGGCTAGGAATAGGCCTTTTGGTACAGGAGTTAAAATGCTATTTGGAACTCCCATATCCTGTGACCAAGCATCTGGGTTTGAGTCTCAGCTCTGCTCCAAGCTCAGCTTCCTGCTAAAGCACACCCTGGAAGACAGCAGGTGATGGCCCAAGCCCTCAGGGACCTGCCACCCACAAGACAAACCCAGAGAAAAATGCCAATTCTCAGTTCCCGGGCATTTGGTGAGTGGACTAGCAGGAGGAAGCTGTCATTTCTAACTCTGTCTCTGCCTCTAAAATAAAAAAAATAAAATCCTGTTGGATTCTAGATATTCTTTTTTTAAGATTTATTTATTTGTATAAAAGCAGATAAACAGAGAGGAGGAGAGACAACGAGGAAGATCTTCCATCTGTTGGTTTACTCCAAGCAGCTGCAATGGCCAGAGCTGAGCTGATCAAAGCCAAGAACCAGGTGTCTCCTCTGGGTCTCCCACATGAGTACAGGGTCCCAAGTCTTTGGGCCATCCTTGACTGCTTTCCCAGGCCATAGGCAGGGAGCTTGTGGGAAGCGGGGCTGCCAGAATTTGAACTGGCGCCCCTATGGGATCCTGGTGCGTTAAAGGCAAGGACTTTAGCTGCTAGGCTACTGCGCCAGGCCTAGATTCTGGATATTATTATATTTGAATTTACTAAGTAAACCTATTACAATACTTTTTTTGGGAGGTTATGTTTGGATGTTTGTATTGTTCCATTCCACCTGACATTCTACAGACATTCTTGGGAGCTGAAAATGTAAACCATTAAGAAAGATAATGCAAAGAAAAGAAAAATGATAAGGAAGGACAGATACTTAGATATTAAGTCAGCAGTTAATTCACTTTAGCTAATCCTTAGTGAATTCTCCATGTTAGGCAGTACAGAAAATAGACTCCTTGCCCTCACAGAGCTAACATCCTACTTAGGAGGTACTTAAATTGGATTACTAGGTGCATGAGAAGGTAGTGGGTTTGAACCAGAGAAGTAAATGAGGGGATGGATATGGGAAAGGTATAGGGTTGCAGCTCTGAGACTTAAAGCAGGTGGAGGGAAGTCATCTGGGAGCAGCTGACATCAGAGTTGGGGTGAAGATGGGGAAGCAGAAGCCAAGCCTGAGCCCAATGGGGAAAGCCCTGGGGAAGCGGTGCTCCCAGCAGAGAGAGCAGGTACAGCAGTGCAGATTTTTGTCCCCTTGTGTGTTCAGGTGGGGGCCATTGTCACGGACTTGAAGGACGTAGGAAGGGGTGCTTGGGGATTACAGAATGGCCAAATCATGTGCACCTTCTGGGCCTTGCCCCCAGGGAACTGGGAGAACTGGAGCATTTGAGCAATTTGGCACTCTGAGCTGCCTGTTTCCTTTTCTGCTGAAAAAAGGACAGAAACGCTGTACAAGGTTTCTCAGGACTGGACAGGGAGAGAGAGGAGGAAGGATGTGCTGGCTGGGGCTGATGAGGGATGTGTAGTTAGTTAGAGATGCCCTCTCGGCTCAGCTGTCAGTAGGCAGATCAACTTTAGTGGGTGGAGGTGGACGTGTAGCCCTGAAATTCCAAAGGGAGGGAATACTGAGAAGAAATGGTCTTTTGTCTTAAGAAACAAAAACAAAACGAAAAGCCAACTCTGTCTAGTTACTGAAACTGACCAGGAAGATAATGCACATTTTCTATTTTAAGTGTTTCTGACATTAATTTTCACAAACAGTCCTCCGTTGTTTATAGGGTCTGGACTGTAACTACTGAACAATAGGAAGCTATTTATTTCTTTAAAAATCACCTAGTTTTACTTTTTGGCTCCATAAGTACTAAATTTAATATCATAATTATGACTGTGAAGAAACTTAGCAAAAGTTTTTTCATAATGAATTTTTGTTTTATAATTTAGAAATATATACAATAAAAAATGGAATAATAGTTTGAAAATGTTCATGCTGGTCATCAGGCCTTTTCACATTTTTTTTCAGGTGTGAATTAAAATTAGTATGATGGACACATTGTAGTATTTCTTCTAAATACTAAAAGAATAAAGTTTATAAATTTCAACTTGTTATGTTAACTTAGTGTTTACAGTATAGGATTTAATACAATTCTGTTTCGTTTCTTTTTTTTTTTCTGTTTTGAATTCTGTTTATTTTCGAGGAAGGGAGAGAGAGTATTAAAGAGAAAAACAATTTTTTACCTGCTGATTTACTCCCTAAATGCTCCCAGCAGCTGGGCTGGGCCAGGGCAAGAAGAGAGGGTGGGGCAGCTCTGTCTGAATCTCCCGTAGGGAGGTAGGGACCCAGCTGCCGAGCTGTCACCTGCTGCCTCCTGGGATGCACTTCATCAGGATCTGGAATGGGCCATGTTGCTGGGACTCAAACCAGGCACTCTTAGGTGGGATGCTGGGGTCCTAAGTGGTGTCTGTCGCAAGGCCAAACCCTTACATATTAAGTTGAAACCGTAGAGCTAATAATTTTATATCTATATACCAGTTAAATTTAACAATACTTTTTAAATAAAAGCTTTCCAAATACATAAGCTTAAATTACAGTGTGTGGTTTTTAACCTTTTTAGAGAAAACAGCGTCATCCAAAAGCACCCAGGCATCCTCGCCTCCCGTGCGCCTCCCTAAGCTTCCTGTTGATGCAGAGGCTGCACACAGCAGTTTCGGAGTGGTTCTGACAGATTCCTCCAGGCATAGTGGAGGTAAATAGAAGAATCCTTTTATTCATTTTGTTTGCTTACAGATGTTTCTGTTCAGATTAGGGGGATAGTGTAGGTTGGGGTATTTATTAATCATATATTTCTTCTGTTTTCTATGTTCTTTTATGTAGTGTGTCAACCTAGTTTAAGGTCCTGTTTAGTGACCCAGTGTCAGAATTGGTGTTCAACTAAAAAATTCAGAGTATTCTCTTGCTTAAGTTTCTAATAATTTATGAAATGGCTTCTTTTTTGTCTCTAACATGGAAACTTGGGTTATAATTTATAATTTTAACTCTGAAAGTCTGACTTTGTTCCTTCTCATGACTTATCAAAATACGCCGTGCTACCAACAGAAGACTCATTATTTTGCTAAAAGATAGGTGTCACGGTCCATGGGATCATTATGTCTAGTTAATCTTTTTCAAGAAATGCCTTGACAGTAACATTTTCAAGACTTTGGTTTAGTATTTGGTGCACCCCTAGGCTCTTCTGCTATAGTTAATGTGCTTTCTGTGATTGGACTAATTCATCATGGTGCCTGGAGAAGGTGTGAGCGTTCATTGCTACACGTGTAGATTTCCGTTTCATGTTTGAGCTGGCGTCAGACAGCAGCGGTTTGGTCTTTGAACTTCCCCTTTTCCATATTGTGAACCTGGGAGGCTGATTTCACGTGTCTTAAACTAGCACTTGAAAACAAATTCCTTACTCTGTATTTAATATACCCCAAGACAGATACTATGCTTTATTCTGGAGCAGCACAGATAAAATCACTCCTGCCTTCTAGAGTTGTACAGTGTAGTGGCTGACACAGACTGCTAAGCCTTCAGAGGATGATACGCACAGTGAAACCCATAGCATTGTGGAGGGTAACTTAGATACTTAAACCCTATCCAGAGAGCAGGCTGTATAGATGAGCTAGTAGAGATGATTTTGATTCATTATTCTTGAGATTCCACCCATGGTGATATGGAATCATGAGAGAAGAGAAAGGTGGGTGGGCCTAGGAAGCTCTTTAGCAGTAGGAGCTACACCTCAAAGGATGAAATGGCTTACCTGGGAAAGAAACCAGAAACGTGGGCAATGACATGGCCTGTGCAGGAGACCGATGGCTGATCCCTCATGTTGCTGTCAGAGACGGCCTTAGTGTGCGTGGTTGCTACGGGAATGGTGCTCGCGTAGGGCAGCAGTTAGGTGTCTCGTATGATACACTTTAAAGTTTCCCTGAAAGCTATAGAAAGCCCTAAAGGATTTCATTTTGTTTTTTCCCTAAAGGATTTTAAAGTGGCGGGGTGGGGGGGCGGAGGGGAAGGAATGGCAAAAGGTGAGGCTCTGATAAGAATAAGGGTAGACACAAAGTGAGGTGGAGCAGGAGCTGAACAAAGGTGGTGGCTTGGGCTTTGGAACTAGATAGCCTGTGTCAAGATAAGGAAGCAGCAGGTTTTGGGTGAAGATCATGCCCTCAGTTCTGGAACCCCTGCAGCCCAGCTACAGTTTCCCAGTCAGAGGTAACCCAGATGGAGAAGGGAAGCATATCTGTCTGACCGAGTAAGGGACAAGGAAGTTCTGCTTGTCTAGGATCACCCAGAAAGTAGGAACACTACCAGTGTTCAAATGCAGACTTTCCAATCCCAAGAACAACGTTCTTTGTTTTATACCTCAGTGGTCACATATGCTGTCTTTTAGGTTTTGAAATTACACTCTGTAGAGTTATTTCCCCCAGTAACTTCCTTTTCCTATTTGATCTGTGGTATTGGATGAATTCTCACCTCACCTGAACCAACATATGAAGTTGTTTGGTTTCTCATGTCAAGGAGTTTAACTAACAATTCTATTCGTTCTGTTTCCATTGCTTTCTAACTTGAAAGGAGTACAGTAAGTATCACAGTTTGCCTGGTTTAAATATGTTTTTCTCCAATAAGCATTTTGCTGTTAAAATGCCACCATCTTCTTCATAAAAAAAAAACACATTCAGTGTTATGTGTTTGCATTGTGGATTGAAGAGGTTTGAAGGTGGAAGGGTTGGCATGGCTTAGACCAGAGACTGGGTTGCCTTCATGGCTTCAGAGAAGTGAAAGCCCAGAGTCAGGTCCCTGGTACCAGCTCTGGGAGCTCTATGGTTCACAGACCAAGACACTATTGAATCCTGAGAACCAGCTCACCTGCCTGAAAGTCTCAGGCGATGGGCACTTTGACCATCATCAGAACCAGGTGGGAACCAAGGAAAGCCACAAGACTGCTGGTCAGCCACAGGAGTTAGGCACATGATATAGACGGCTGACCTTACTCCTGATATTTATATCTGCTTCAGGGTTTAGACCATCAGTTTGTGTGTTAGGGCAAACCCTGTTTGTGACAGTGCCAACTGGAACCTACCAAGTCTTTGCTTGCTCTCTACCATCCTTTTTCAGTGTGTTTATGGAGGTCATCTGTTTTCTGCCAACATCTTTCTTATTTTTTTCTTTAAATATTTGTGTTCCTTTTACTTGAAAGGCAGAGTGACTGAGAAAAGAAGAGATAGAGATTTTCCCATCTGCTGGTTCACTCCCCAGATGGCTGCAATGGCTGGAGCTGAGTCATTCCGAATCCAGGAACCAGGAGCTTCCTCTAGGTCTCCCACATAGATGCGGGGGCCCAATGACCTGAGCCATCTTCAACCGCTTTCCCAGGTCATACACCGGGAGCTGGATCAGGAGTGGAGCAGCCAGATCACGAACCAGCACCCATATGTGAAAATATATTGTAAATTATAGCTGCATTTATTATTTATTGTAAATGATAGTGACAATCAGACTGGAAATACTAAATGATTAATAACTGTCTACATACTGTTTTAGTCTGAATCCAAAACAGTATGATTAAAAATATTGTTAATTTGCTAACTTTTCAGTTTTTGGGTGATTATTACCAAGTTTAGAGATTATTTTACGTTTTCTTTTTTTTTTTTTAATTACCCAAATTTGGCCAATTCATTCCATGTTAGCTTTGGCAGCAGAGGGGAGGGTAACCATCATAGTGTTCTTGGGCAGGAACCTTCCGTAACATGAGGTGTGGGGTCTTTCCTGGCTTTGGGTCACTGAATTGCATGTTTCTGTTTTCAGTTCCAGAGGCACCTGACCGGCCCACCATCTCCACTGCGTCAGAGACATCCGTCTATGTCACCTGGATTCCCCGGGCGAACGGGGGTTCTCCCATCACGGCTTTCAAGGTCGAGTATAAACGGATGAGGACCAGTGACTGGCTGGTGGCAGCCGAAGATATCCCTCCTTCCAAACTCTCTGTGGAAGTGCGTAGCTTAGAGCCAGGTAGTGACATTCAAATGTTTCCTTGTCTTAACCATCAGTGATAACTTTATGTGTATCTAATAATCTTATACTTTCTCTGTTAGAAGAACACATGCTTATTACATAAAAATTACATAAGGAATAATCAAAAAAGGGAACAGATGCATCTGAAATTCACCCAACCCGATGAATTTGTTGTGTTTTGGTATATATCTCTTTCTACCTTTTCTCACTTTTTAATGCAATCCAAGATTATGTCATAGAAATCATTTTATGTCTTCTTTTCTCATGCTATATATGTTTTATAGTATTTTAAAAATTCTTTTTAAAGTTATTTAAAAACATTGTTTATTTGAGATGCAGAGAGGGAGAGAGAGAGAGCACGCTCTCTCCTCCATTGATCACCTTTCCAAGTGTGGCTCACTGCTAGGGCTGGGCCAGACCTGAAGGTGGCAGCCAGGAGCACTTCTGATTCCCCACTTGGAGCCAGGAGCCCAGCTCCAGGAGCTGCCGTCCACCACCTCTCAGGGTCTGTGGTAGCAGCTGGAGCCTGGGTATCAAACCCAACAGTCTGATGAGGGACACAGGTGTCTTACCCAGCTTCTCAAAGCTCTGTTTAGGTGCTGTATTTCTGTTATATAGTATACCACAGCGTATGTAGCCATTCTTTATTTCTGGGTTTAAGTTATTTATACTCCCAAACAATGATGTGGTAAGCATCTCTGTAAATGTGTGTTTTGTGATGACAGACAGTTTTAAGAAGAAAATTGCTTGTGAGCTGACAAACATCAATCCGCTGCTGAATCTAGGCATGGAGCTCCATGTTATAGAAATGAGACAGCTCACCCTTGATTTTAATGTCAATTCCAGCAGAGGATCCCCCATCCAAAACAAAAACAACTTAAGGTCCTACAAAAGAAATAAAACAGAAAGAGGGAATAAATAACATCTGAATTTTATTTTTGGGGGTTTCAGGGTCATTTTAGCTTTTTTGGACTTTGAGTTGCATATTGTTAACAAATGCTTGTGTTTGAGTGGATAGCATGAGGCACATGAGAATGTGTGGGTTCAGTTGGGGCAAAGCTAGATTGCATGTTCCAGACTGAAGACCTGTCTTCAGAAGCCCAGGGACTATTTTGAAGCAACAGGAGACTTGCTTTAGGGTTTTAATTTATTCTTTAGATTTGAGTTTTCAAAAATTCACAATTCTGAGTAGTTTTTGAAGTTCTTAACATATAATTCTGTGGAATTCGAGTCTGTTTCCGCTAACCCTGTTCTCAGGGAAGCCAGTGTGGTGTCTGCTGTCACCCACGTGGCATTTCCTCATAGGAGTATGTTCACTGTGTTAAACTTAGCTCCAGTTATTTCTTTCCAAGTGAGGAACGCCTGGTGTGGGGAACAGATTCCTCACTGTCCTTGCTAGGCATGGCTCAGACCAGGGCGGTAAATGGGGTACATGTCTTTTCCTAGCCCTCTGCCTGCTCCCGTGTTGAAGCATCACTCACTCATCTTTGACGGCATTCTTTCCTGTCTTGAAATCTGGAATATGGTGCACTGAACAGCCACTCACTCCCAGCTGCTCATAGTTCACCAGTGGTTGAACTAGATCACTAGCCAGCTGTAGAGTTTCTCACTGTTGCTATAGATAGGTACTTAAACACAGGAGGCATATTTTTAATATTCTCCCTTTAGTTTTCCCATCACAACTGTGTTTTAGTTATGGGTATTTGTTTTGTTTTTCCCCTCAAGGCTCAACATACAAATTTAGGGTCATCGCTATCAACCATTATGGGGAGAGTTTCCGGAGTTCAGCATCTCGTCCTTATCAGGTGGCTGGGTTCCCCAATCGGTTTTCCAACCGTCCGATAACTGGACCTCACATTGCTTACACAGAGGCAGTCAGCGACACTCAGATCATGCTGAAGTGGACGGTACGTGAACACTTCTCCATGGAGAAGACTTCCTGAGCTGGTCATGGCAGCAGTCAGTTTAATATTCTCCTGGCATTGTGAGCACATCAAGTTTTGAACTTGTAATGGAGGGGAAATTGAAGGGCATTAATATTTGTTTGAAAGTACGTATTATAAGGATCAGGATTAAAAATAAAATCATTTCCTTGGCTCTTATCCAAGTGTTATTAACTTAACCGCCACTTAGTGCTTTATTTATTTTGAACCAAATGTGCTATTGTGCCTTTGAAACCAGCAAAGTGGACTTCTCTATTTTTGTTTAACCCTACAGGAAGCTAAGCGCTCTCAATAATTTTGAATTAAGTTAAAAGTGGTTATTAAGTATGCTGGCAAAGTGAAATGGGAAAAATATTACCAGATAAGTAAATCCAAGTGGATATGAAATTAACATTTTTTTTGATAAATATTCTTCTTTTCTCTTTTTTCAGTATATTCCATCAAGTAACAATAACACTCCCATCCAAGGATTTTATATTTATTACCGACCCACGGATAGTGACAATGACAGTGATTATAAGAGGGACGTGGTAGAAGGTAAGTCCCCGTGCAAGCTATGACTCATACAAAGAAGGGAGAGAAGGCATCAGGGAGGTCGAGGCAGAGTAAAAATTGAAATAGCATGTGCATTATTGCTGTTGAATTTGTCCCAAAGCCATTTTTTTCCACATTAACATATAGTCCTGTGTATATTTTGATTGCAGAATCCTTTCCAGAGACATATGAAGGTGATGATTTGTCATCATGTTTGGGGAAAAAAAATTGATTTTTGTTGTGTTTAAGTGACCTGTGACCTGAGTATAAAACCCAGTAGCAACTTCTAGCATGTTGAAAAAAATGGTGTATCATTCAAATAGTTTTGTTGAGGTCTGTACTAGAAAGATTATATCTTTACCATGTATGTTATCCACCTTTAGAGAAAGTGAGGAATTGGAATGCATGTAGAGTAAAAAGAAAATCACCAAGTTGGTACACAGTGTTGGAACTGCTTCTATACTGCATGGAAAGTATAAACCAGTGCATTGCATAGGGCTCAGCAGCCCCAGGTGATATGGCTGGCTCTGCCTCTACCCCCAGCTACGTCTCTGAGGTCTTTCCTGTCCTCACGCTGTGCTCTTCATCCTGGCCTTTGTCTTAGGGGCTTGTGCACACTAAGATTTGTCTATCACAGAGAAGTCTCTGCCAGCACCTGCCGTGTGCCTCTCTCAACCTGTGTTTCCTCTGTTGTGTGCTAAATGGCATATAGGCAAATCTCCCCTAAGTTTCTAACCATACGCTTTCTATATATTTCATAGAATTTAACAAGAGATGAAACATGGAAGTGAGTTTGAAATTATTTTCTTTGAAATTGTTTTCTTAAAATTTATCTTCCTTTCCAAATGTCAACCTCCTGTTGGGCCCAAGGACTTTATCCCTTTGCTTTCTCCTAGTTCTACAGTGATGAGGTATTCAGGAGTGAATCAATGAATGCAGTCCAGAACAGAACATTTTGTAAAAAAAAAAAAAAAAAAAAAAAAAGATTATGCTTATTTAAATGAGAGAAAGAGAACATTAGTTTCCCTTTATTGACTCACGGCCCAAATGCCCCATTGGCCTGGACTGGACTGCGACGAGGGTCAGGAGCTGGAAACTCAATTCAGGTCTCTCCCATGTGCAAGGCAGGTGCCCTACAACTTAAGCCATCACTGCTGCCTCCCCAGATCTGAGTTAGCAGGCATCAGGGGCTGAGCTGGGCATTGAACCCAGGTGCTCCCAAGTGGGAGGCAGGTGTCTTCTCTGCGGGGCTGAACGTCCTTCTGCCTGTAGTGTCCAGGAATAATGGGATTCCTCGTGAGGCTTGGGTGGGAAAAAGGCGGTTGGAGCAGCATGGCAGCTACTCGAAGGTATTTGAGAACTGTTGTGTGGAGGAGGAGTTGAGCTAGTGGAGGGAGACCAGGCTGTACGGAAGTAGTTTAAGAAAGGACTTGCTAGCAGAAGACAGCCAAGTGCTTGGGCCTGCCACTCACATGGGAGAGCGGGGAGCTCTTGGCTTCACTGAGACCCACCCAAGCAGTTGTGGCGATTTGGGGAGTAAACCAGTAGATGCAAAATCTCTCTCTTGTGTCTCTCCCTTCCTCCCTGCCACTCTACCTTTCATATAAATTTAAAAAAAGAGAGAAAGAATTTTCTAACAAGGCATTCTGACCTCAACTTTTTACAAAGCAATGGACTCTCCAGCCTTTTGAAGGGTTCGGCAGAAGTTGCAGCCTGTTCCTCAGAGGTTTCAAGAATGAGCTTGTTGCTCTGAGAGGAGGGCTTCGTCCAAGGTCCTTTTTCCACTCCAAATTTCTGATACTTTAAAATAGTGAATGTCCTAATGGATCATGTCAGAAAATTGCCCCAGGGCACATTTATTTTCCATGAATTCTTGACATCAAATAGTGCATACGATTTTTGCTATGATAAATTACTTCAAATGGGTCATATGCTGCATTTCATTGAATATTGTGGCATTACTTTTAATGTTTACCCATGTGTTTTTTCCCTTATTTTTAAAAATTTTAATTAGCAAGTAATGCCTATATGTTTTTATGGGATACAGTGCAGTATTAAGTGGAACTACTATTCTAATGTAATGAAAAATTTATCATCTCAACTTTAATGCTTGGCCATTGCAGGCACTCAGTTAATATGGGTCCCTTTTAAAATTTTTTAAAGATTTGTCTATTTTTTATTGGAAAGTAAGATTTACAGAGAGAAAGTGAGACAGAGAAAGATCTTCCATCTGCAGTTTCATTCCCTAAGTGGCTGCAGTGGCTGGAGCTGAGTCAATCTGAAGCCAGAAGCCATGAGCTTCTTCCAGGTCTCCCACATGGGTACAGGGTCCCAAGGCTTTGGGCCATCCTTGACTGCTTTCCCAGGTCCCAAGCAGGGAGCTGGATGGGAAGTGGAACAGCCAAGACATGACCGGGCACCCATATGGGATCCCAGCACATGCAAGGCAAGGACTTTAGCTACTAAGCTACTGCGCTGGGCCCTAGTGTGGGTCTAAAAAATTATTTGTTTATTTGTTTGAGAGGCAGATAGAGAGCCTCTTTTGGTTTACTCTGCAAATGCCCATGGAAGCCAGGACCAGGAATGCAGTCTCCCACAGGGGTCTCCCACATAGCTGGGAGAGCTCAACTGCTTGAGGCTTCTCTGCTGCTTGCCAGGGTGTGTGTTAATGGAAAGCTAGAGTCAGGAGCCAAATCAAACCCAGGCCCTGAAGAGAGACATGCATGTTTTCTCTGCTAGGTTGCATACCACTTCTTTTTATTTTTATTTTTAGTGGAAAGTCAGATATACAGAGAGGAGGAGAGACAGAGAGGAAGATCTTCTATCCGTTGATTTACTCCCCAAGTGACCACAATGGTGGGAGCTGAACCAATCCGAGCCCAGGAGCCTGGAACCTCTTCCGGGTCTCCCAAGTGCGTGCAGGGTCCCAAAGCTTTGGGCCATCTTCGACTGCTTTTCCAGGGTACAAGCAGGGAGCCGATTGGGAAGCGGGGCTGGTGGAACTAGAACTGGTGCCCATATGGGATCCTGGTGCATTCAAAGCAAGGACTTTAGCCGAGAGGCTATAACACTGGGCCCTGAATACCCACTTCTAATAAATATATTTTAAAAATTTTTAAATTTTACTTTTATTATTTTCCATGAATCATCTTTTTTTCAATGAAGGCATGGTTGCTTCTCTTTTTCTATAATTTTTAATAGTAAAACTATCCCCTGCTCTTAGTGGTCAAGGTAGTAGAGGTCTTGGGAGAGTCAAGTGTCTAGACAGAGTCTGAGGAGCCACTGTGGGTCTGCAGGCTTCTCTCTCTTAAGCTGGGTGCTGACTGCAGATGTGTGTTCAATTTGTGAACATCCACTGAGCTGTACAATGAGGTGTAATTTTCTGTGTGTATCTTTTATGGCAATAAAAAAAAGCTATTTACAAAAAGAAATGGTGTGGCCAGCATTGTGGCACAGTAGGTTGAGCTGCCTACAGCAGCAGCATCCTGGCTGCTTCACTTGAGATGCTTGCTCAAGTTCGTGGGTAGAACAGAGGAGGGTGGCTGAAACCCTCCACTCTCATGGCAGTGACTCACCAGCTTCCTTGCTCTGGCTTGGCCCAGCACTGGCTGTTGGCGCCGTTTGAAGGATGATCCCAAAGGTGGAAGATCTCTGTCTCCTTCTCTCTCTAACTCTGCTTTTCAAGGGGAAAAAAAAAAAAGCTTATATGAAAAAAAGAAAGAAATGGTAATATACATAATTGTTAGTGTGTGTTCTGCATTTTGGTCTTATCTAGCTCTGCACTTTACTTCAGCTAATTTAGGTGCATGGGGCCTAGGTTTTTGTTTTTGGATTTTTAGCTTCTGAATCAGATTAAACATTTGTTATAAGAGGGTTATAAACAAACCAAGTGTAAACAAAATGAATATCTAGCTGTGTCTGTCTTCGCTATGCCCCTGGCCCCCACCTCTTAGTCTTGCTTTCTAGGAATATCCTCTGTTAGTTTTTAAACTGTTCTCTCCTAGTCAGACCACTTAACTTTTACAGACTTCTGTGATAGTCACAGAGTGTACAACTTGGAATGAGTTTAAGAAAGATTGTGTATTTGGTGGTAGAGTCTAAAAATGTGAGTTTTGGCTTATGATTCACAGAGAACTTGTTTATACTTGTAACACACTGAGAAGTTAGATGTTGAAGTGGGCTTTGCTGTGCTGTATAATTTGCTTATTCCTTATTTTCAAGTTTATGCATTTGAAATTCTTCCTGTGGCCTTTGGAAGACTAAATCTGGTCTCCCAAACCTGGGAGCAAAAGCATTCATTCCTTAAAGTTTTCTTTACAAGTTTCAGATTACTTGCATGCGTTAACTCAGACTTTAAGCTTTTGAAAAAAAAAAAAAACTTAAACTCAACTAAATTGTAAAAGAATATAGTAAGAACAATAATATTTAAATTATCTCATCTTCTGGATTAAGTTACACATTTGGATAAACTGTGTTTCCAGCATACAGATGCTTTTGTCTGGGATAGTTTTATCTTGTAAAGTTGAATTGAGTTCCAGATAAATCAGACTGTTGCTTGTTTCTGGTCTTTAAATCCGCACTTTTGGTTTCTCGCAAACCAGATCTCTCAACTAGAGGTAAATTCTTAAGTCTTGAGTATGCTTTGGAAAAATAGTTGCTTGTAAGGCAAAGAGTGTGTGTGGTGGTTTTTGGTTTTAACAAGCATATACTCTGAGCTGTCGTATTCATCAGTGATCAATAAAAAATTCTCTTTGCTGATATTTGTTGTAATTGTAGCCATTGGAAGAAACAGCATAGTGATGCAATAGTAACCTAGCAAGACAGAAATTATCTCAATTATTTTATGAGTAACCTACCAAAGCCTAGTTTAACTCCAATTTTGCCAGTGTGGTGGAAAAAAAACCCTCAATCTAGTGTAATATTATTGAAGAATTCAAGAGAGTGTTTATAGTTAAGAGAATGTAAGGTTACATTAGGAAGGACCCAGGGTTAGAGAAAAATCAACTCTTTCAGAAAGTTTTGGATTTTTATAAGTAAGTCTATTTTAGGTTCAGATGGTTTTTTTGAATTCAGATTTTTGAGAGGGTGGGTCTTATATGTATATATATATAAATGGGGCGTAGAATTTCTCCCTTCTTGAGACTTTCCGAGACCCTGGATTCTAAAACAAGAGGATATTCTGATGAAGCGTGGCTCTGTGAATACAGGTTTTTGTGCTGGTGACCTGACAAGGGGTGTGAGCTCCCAGACTGAAATGTGTTTTGTGTGGAAAGGAGCCTGGTCCAGCAAGCCAAGCCCATCTGACGGGCGGGCGTAGCTTTGTTTGGTTTTGTTCTCTGCCTTCAATAAATTCTTGAATCAGCTGGTGGCGGAGTTTCTAAGAAAGAGTGGAAACAGTTTGAAGAGATGTTTTCTGAGAGGGATTGAGGGCACTTGAACAGTTCATTAAATCTGGCGAAAGTGTCCCTGTGTATGAAAGTTTGTCACGGGTCCATGAAAATAAAAGTGGAGAGTGATTTATATCGGAGTGTTCAGTTTCTGAGCAGCTCTAAATGAAATGCTGGCTGGGTGCCAGGGGTAGCAGAGTCATTGTGTTAGAGATACTGATGTGGTTTGGACACCCTGACTCCAAGGAAAGCAGCAGCAGAAGTATCTGCAGAGAGGTTTCCGTGGTAGAATTTGCTTTGGGGTAATTCCCTGAAGTTTCCTTAGGCCTTAGTGTACTTGACCATTCATATTGAATCCATTATGGTGGAATTGAATGTTTTGCTAGATCATTGGCTCTCTGGGAAATGTCCCGTTTGCAGTTCTTATGTACAGTGGGTTGATTTGCTAGGCTGATATGAGGGTCACAAGATTTGAGGTTTTTTTTTAAGTTCATATCTGAAATTAGCACTTACTTTATGAAAGACTCACCACTAGTTGTTTTTAATTAAATAAATGCTACTACCAACATATAAATACAGCTTTATTTTTTTAAAAGATTTATTTATTTTTATTGGAAAGACAGATTCACAGGGAGAAGGCGAGACAGAAAGATCTTCCATCTGCTGGTTCATTCCACAGATAACCATGACAGACAGAGCTGAGCTGATCGGAAGCCAGGAGCCAGGAGCTCTTCCAGGTCTCCCTCACAGGTGTGGAGTCCCAAGGTTTTGGGCCATCCTCTACTACTCTCCCAGGCTACAAGCTTGGAGGTGGCTAGGAAGTGGAGCAACTGGGAAACAAACCGGCATCCGTATGGGTTCCCAGAGCACTTACAAGCAAAGGATTAGCCAGTTGAGACATTGTGCCAACCCCACAAGTATGGTTTTAATTCTATTTATCTCCTTATTTTTTTATAATCACATAATAGAAATATTAATCTATGATGTATTACTAAAGTGCTTAGTTAGATTCAGTATTTTTTTTATTGAACAAACTAGTAGTTGGTAAAGGATGCTACTCCATCCTCATTCTGGAAAAAAAATTATATGGGCATTACTGTTTAGGTTGTTTTATGTGTCAAGTGTATCTCTTATTTTTCCCTCCTAGGTTCTAAGCAATGGCATATGATTGGCCACCTGCAGCCAGAAACATCCTATGATATTAAGATGCAGTGTTTCAATGAAGGAGGAGAAAGCGAATTTAGCAATGTGATGATCTGTGAGACTAAAGGTAGGAGGCGGTGGGAGTTTGTGCTTTTCCACTAGACAGTGCTAGAATTCCAAAACCTGGATGATTCCTACTAACTGTTGCCATTTTTTTCCCCCCTAAGAAAATAAATTTCTGCTTTTGGCCATTTTCTGGGTACATGCACTTATTATCCCAATAGCACGCAATAAGTTGGCTAGAGCACTTATCTAAAATATCACTTACATATGCATGAATCCTGTTAATTTCTTTGGGACTCTGAGTAAATCACTTTCTTTATCTTATTCTCTTTGAAGAGATGAGAAGTATGTGCTGAGTATTTTTTGAGATTGCTGTGAGAAAATTCATACGAACAAAAGTATAGGAATAGTAAGGAAAAGTGCTATATATGTGTGTGTGTGTAAAAGATTTATTTATTAATAGTTACAGAAACAGGGAGGATAGGGAGATAAAAAGAAAAAGAGAGAGATCTTCCATCTGCTGATTCATTTCCTGATTGGTCCCAATGGCTGAATCTAGGCCAGTCTGAAGCCAGGAGCCTTTTCCCTTTCTCTCATGTGGTTTCAGGGTCCCAAAACTTGTCTTACTCTCTACTGCTTTCCCAGGCACATTATCAAGTAGCTGGATCAGAAGTGGAGCAGCCAGGACCCAAACCAGTGCCCAGATGGGATGCTGGCATCTCAGGCAGTGCTTTACCCACTATACCACAGTGTGTCTGAAGCAGTCTCTTGACAGACATGTGTAACGCTCTCTACTTGGCTCATTAGATGTAATAGTCTAGAATGAGCATTTTGATATTCTGAATTGACATTCTTCACTTGGCAGATACTGTGATGTTTGCTGCCATCTTCAAAAACAGAAGATAGCACACAGGTGTAATGGAGACAGCTAATGTGTATATTCTTAAAAGCAGAAGCACTCCTGTCCAGTCTCCATTAATTCTCGCTCCCACTATGGGCACAGTGTCAAGGGCAAGCAGTACAAAAAGCCACCCTCTGTGGGATTCAGTAGTCCAAAAATGTGTTACCTCCAAAGTGGAAGTCCAGAAGCCGGTAATCGCTGTTACTGAATGCAGGAGTTCATTTTTCTCTGTCTTTCCCCTGGATCACTTCTTGGTGTGAGTGTGGCCCTAAGGCTGATATCACTCACCACTTGCCATAGTTCTGGGCTTCACACCTACGGTTTACAATGGCTGAGAGCACTATTGCTGTCTTAGGAATGAGGGATTTCCTCGATGTTCCTGTGCTACGTGTCCATCTGATTGTCTAGGTCTCAGTTGGGGCACCTGCTGTATACACAAGGGCTTTTTTTGTTGAAGACACTGATTTGTTCATGAGTATTTCTTAGGCGCCTATAAATGCAGTGTGATACCAATATGGAATTAAGCAGAAATGGTCCTAAAACACTTAAGAATATAGCCAGGCAAAGTATGGAAGAGCATAGACAACATCATTATAGCTGTTGTGAATCTGGTAGAGCTGGTGACGCTGTTCTTAGAATGGCTTCATTATGTCTTTTACTGGAGAAGACGAGATTCTACCTATGGACTTTCAAAACAATGAGAAATCAAAGTCTTATTTAAAATGTTAACTGTCCTACTGAATGCCTTTCTAAAATATGTTATGCAGTTGCTGTTCTGTTTGTGTAGAAGACAGAATGCATGATTTAACCTTCCACAAAATGGCCCCGTGTTCTTGTTAGGACAATGGTGGTTTTCAGGAAGACTCAGGTGTTGAAAGCTGGTTTTCCCCACTTCCCTTTGAAGATCAGAGGCTATTATGGGGTTTCCTTCAGGCTTAGATTTCTCTTTGTGTTTGTCAGGACATCTCTATCGGGCTCTTAGCTATCTCCAACTATTGATGTTAACATAGGGCTATCATACCCAGCCTCGACCCAAGTCACCTGTCCTCTGTTTTTAACTTTAACAAGAGGTTGGAAGCCAGATCATCAAACTTAGTAGAATTACAAGTAATTGAAGGATAAATAAAGAGTGGCTAATCCTGAAGGCCTTCTGCAAGAGTAACCCTAATTTTTAATGTGTGATATGGAGCACCCACTTTGCCTCAGAGACCTTTAGTGTTTACTTTCAGGTTTATAGTGGCCTTAGAAGTGTGTGATCTGGGGCCTGGCACATTGGTTCAATTGGCTAACTCTTTGTGAGCACTGGGATTCCACATGGATGCTGGTTTGTGTCTCAGCTGCTCCACTTCCCATCCAGCTCCCTGTGTGTAGCCTGGGAGAGCAGTAGAGAACAACCCAAAGCCTTGGGACCCTGCACCCATGTGGGAGACCCAGAAGAAGCTCCTGGCTCCTAGCTTCAGATCAGTTTCCCTGGCTGTTGTGGCGATTTATGGAGTGATTCAGCAGAGGGAAGATCTTTCTCTCTGTCTGTCCTTCTCCCTATGAATCTACCTTTCCAATAAAAATAAATAACTATTAAAAATAAAAAAAGTGTGTAATCCAACTGAACTTGAAGTACAACTTTTCTTTGGAGTCTCTGCCAGGTGTTTTTCAACTATAGACAACTCCTTCCTCGAACGTTGGTCCCTTTGTTTCTTATTTCCAGTTTTGTTCTCTATAGCTGAGCTTGCTCAGCGACTAAACCCTGATTCAATGTGATTGTTGAATGGAATTTTAGAAGATTACTTCGCTGCTGTGACTTGTTAGGAGACCTACTGGGAAATCAAGGAGAACTATTAATTATAACTATGATAGCAAAACTACTCAGACCCTGCCATGTACCATGCTATAGTGCTATGGTGCCAAATTTTGATATCCCCAGAAAATCATCAAGTCTGAAGTTGGGGCTAAGGCATAAAGTTGGTTTATTCAGGTTAGCTTAGGTCTCCCAGCCACCTCACCCAGCCCTGCTGGACTTGGGGAGGGGCAGCCGCAGCTGAGGCTGCTGTAGGGGCCACAGGGAGAACAAAAAGAAGTGAGCGAGTCGGAGCCAGAGCAAGAGCCCTGGTTGAACAGCCCAGCATTCTTATACATTTTAGGCTATTAATTATACAGTCATGAGTTAGCAGGCTTCTATTGGTGGATTTTAAATAAGCAACTTTCAAAAAGTACAAATCGATGAGCTATAGGGCGGTGAATCTTATCCAACACCAGGGACCTCCTTCCTGAGGAGTGGTCTGCCTACGTGATCTGCCAGGTTTCCTGCCGGGTGTCACGTAGACTATCAGGCCTGGAGTTCACACAGCCCCAGCCAAGCCATTAAGACAGAATCACAAAAGGCAGAAGACATCTAGGTTCTTCAGTGCTTTATTAGGATGAACTCATTTACCCCTTGAATTAGTTCTTTTTCTGCTGCTCATATACCACAGACTGGGTAAGGTACCAACCACGAAAGATAAGCTGGCTCGCAGTTCTGGACACTGAGAAGTCTAAGAGATTGGCATCAGCAGTGATGGGGGCTGATTGCTGTGTGTGCCATAATATAGAAAGGCAAGTGAGAGAGGGGGCATCACACTTATCAGAAAACTCATTTTAAAAAAAGATGTATTTATTTTATTTGAAAAGCGGAGTTAGAGAATGAGAGAGCTCTTCCATCCACTGCTTTACTCCCCCAGTGGCTGCAATGGCCAGGGCTGGGCCTAGCTGAAGCCAGGAGCCAGGAGCTTCATTCAGGTCTTCCACATGGCTGCAGGGGCCCAAGCTCTTGGACCATTTTCTGCTGGTTTCCCAGATGCTCTAAGGAAGAGCTGATCAGAAGTAAAGCAGATATGAGTTTAAACTGATATTAACCTGGGCTTAATTGGCTATGCTACAATGCTGTCCAGAAAACTGAGATTACCAAAGCACCCTTGAAAATGATCCATTCTTCACCTATCACCTCTTTAAGGGCCTGCCACTTAACACTATTACAGTGGCAGCATGAGCTTCAGAGACATTTAAGCCATAAAACTCATCTTGGGGTAGAACTCTTAGGATTGTCCATTTTCCCAGTGCAGAAGTGTGCAGTTGCAGACCCTGAAGCAGATGAGTGGTAGAGCTGAGATAGAACCCGGCCCCCTGCTCCCAGAGCCTGGCTCTCGTTTCTGTGCTCACTGCTTCTATTGTGACATGTACATTGGAGAGAATGAGATTTGAATCACACCTGTTTTTGGCTTTTAATGTTATTACCCCGAATGCCTAACAAATTAAGTAAGAGTATTGCATTTACATGGACTCCATAAAAGCCCTTCTTTGGTCTTGGGAATTATAATAATTGTAATAAAGCTGAAATTTACATTTTTTTAAAAGTTTTTCTTTTATTTGAGAGGCAAATTTTACAAAGAGGGTGGAGAGAGAGTGAGAGAAGGGATTCCTTCTGCTAGTTCACCCCCAAATGGCCATAACTGCCAGAGCTGAGCTGATCTGAAGATAGAAGTCTGGAGCTTCTTCCGGGTCCCTCCCAAGTGGGTACAGGGGTCCAAGGACTTGGGCCACAGGCAGAGAGCTTGATTGGAAGTGGAGCAGTCAGGACACAAACTGGCTCACATATGAGATGTTGGCACGCCAGGGTTAAGGATTAGCCTGTTAGCCATGACATTAACCTCCAAAATTACATTTTCTAATGATGGTTTTTTTTTTTCTATGTAGTAGAAGCATAAAAGATGTAATTTGAATCTTATTCAGCTCAGATATATCAGATTGAAAATTTTCAATGCATGTTGTTATTTCATCTCTTCAAGGGTCTTCTGCAGGTACGGTTGGTTTGGACCCAGTGCATGTGTTTGCCTGTACTTAAAGATTTCCCTAAACTGGTGGGCCAAGCCTTTGGCACATTGGACTTTTAGACTTTGGAGTCTTCTGTGACCCCCTGGTGGTCAAGGCATTCCTGGAATAAATATAAACAGACTGGCTTGCACTAATCCAGATCTCCTTCAGAGAGATCTTTCAGAGACTTTTCAGACTCTTTTCAGAGACTCTGTTCACTCGGACATCATGCTTTCTTTTATATTTTGATCTAGTGAAACGAGTTCCTGGAGCATCTGAGTATCCCATCAAATACTTCAGCACCCCTCCAAACTCCTCAGGCGGGGGCGGACACATCGGGCCTGCCAGCAGCCCTTCCAGGAGCAGTGACATGTTGTACCTGGTGGTAGGCTGTGTGCTGGGCGTCATGGTCCTCATTCTCGTGGTTTTCATTGTCATGTGCCTGTGGAAGAACTGTCAGCAGAACACCACACAGAGTGAGTCATTCGTGAACACTCCCTTCTTGTGTCCTAAGGATGGGTAGAAAAATATTGGCAGGGTGAATATTGATTTCTAACACTTTGATGTGTTAAAATGCCGTGGTGTGTGCAACACATTCCATAGTCTTCCTTCAGAGGAGGTGACTTGAAGACTGTTGCACTTGTCAGCCAAAGTAAGTGGAGCATTAGATGCAATTGTGCAGGAGAAATAAACACCAGTACCCAAACTAAGCAGGTCTTTAAGTAAGTAACTGACTTCATGCTGGGAAGTTCCAGCCCCTTGGGCCACTGAAGCAGGTGCTGACTTGAAGCATGGGCTTGGCATTGCTGTAAGGAGCACCTCCATGCTGGCACACATTTGGCCACAGACAACGGAAGAAGCCTGATGGAAAGGGAGGGCATGAAGACTTCTCTGCTTCTGTCATGGCATACGTGACCCTTAGACATGAAGACACCATGGTCTTGTCTCTCTGATGCTCACCCACCAGAACTGCTCCCGCATGGCGTCCCCTCCCCCAGACTTGCCAGGTGACAGGTGTGCCTGGGCTGCCGGTGATGACATGGCCGTGAACTTAGAAGCCTGTTTCCCCTTCCTCAGTTATTTCCACCTCACCTTCCTGCTTTTCCTGTCCCGTCAGCTAATATATAACAGGATTACTGCATCAAGTAGGGCTTTCTTGTCCTTGGTTTGAGGAAGCTTTTTGGTGTTCCTTTGATCCCCAGAGCAAAGAAGTAAAAATAAAGGACCTTGGAGGTGACAGGCAGTTTCAGTTACTACAGCCGATCTTGCAGATAATCCCCTTGAAGTCAGTAGCTCAGGGAAAAAAAATCCTTTGAATGATCCCTTCAAGGCATAGGCAGAAAGAGAGGAGGGAGTGGGGAGAGGGGTGGTGTCACGCTGCAAGGATTGTTGATCGTTTTATTGGGTCAACATGGTTTAGTGGCAGTGCTTGTAGTGGCAAGAGAGTGTGCAGAATCATAAGGGAAAAATATGAATGCAGTGGTGTGAGTGCTGTTATTCCAATTAAAGACATTTTTCTTTTTGGCCTCAGCATTTGTTTAAAGATAGAACCCATTATAGTAGTGTTCTTTCAGTCATTCATTCACAAGATACTCATGGACTGTTGTCTGTGTGCCAGGCACTGTGCTGGGCAGTGGAAAGCCGTGTCAGACAAGATAAACTTGGCCACTGCCTCTTAGAGTTCTTACCGGTGTGTGTAAGAACAGTACTCATCCATGCAGGAAAGTCCAGCAGGGGGAGAAGCTGTGGAGGGGAGGGGAGACACAGCTAACCCAGTCTTTGGGAGCCTCGATGCCTTAGCAGCAAATCCTGTGTAGTTTAGATGCTGTATAAGGGACATTTGATCATTTTAAAATACATGTGCTTTTGGGAATCAGAATTGCCAGGCAGTTGTTTAAATGCTTTTAATATAGGGAATGAGAGTAGCTTTTTGCCTGTGCTACCCCCTAGCCTCCCAAGTTGGCTACACAAAGGAACTAGATGAATAAGTGAATGCATATGCCACTTGCAAGGGTTGTTTATTGCTGTTTGAAATGTACCACCTAAAGTTAGCCTTTCCCTGTTTCATACAGTACTTTTCCAGCACTTTGAAGTGTATGGAATTTAAACTTTTTTTTTTTTTTATATTGCCAGTAGTTGGATGCTTTTGGTTTGTGTAGTTTGTTCATTCTCTTTTGAGTAATTTCTGCTTGGTTCATTTCTCTTCCCATTAACAGAGTCCTATTAATTCAGAGTTCATAGCTCCCTTCACACTGTAAAGAAAGTAGTAGCAGCCATTTGATTAAAAGATTCTTAGGATGTTTTATTTTAGCCTCCTGGGAGTTTCTTGGAGGATTCACTAATAAAACTTGGTAAACAAGATGCTTGTCCTTTTCAGTGTCTGACTTTGTTGCTTTTGTTCTCTTTGAACAGAGTATGACCCTCCAGGATACCTCTGCCAGGGGTCAGATATTCACGGGCAGATGGTGGAATATGCCACTCTCTCAGGGACAAACCCCATCAACAGCAGTGCTCGCCGTGGCTTCCTGGGCAATGGCAGTCTCCCCAACGGCTGCTCGCATCTTCATCATAAGGCCCCGAACGGCGTCAGTGGAATGGTGAATGGGAACCTCAATGGAGGGCTTTATTCCGGGCATACGAACTCTCTCACCAGGACACATGTGGACTTTGAACATACTCATCATCTAGCAAATGTAAGAGACCTTATTAGAAACTGAACCCTCAGGGTGCCAAGGTGCAGAAACAGGCTCTGCATACATGGCTTTTTTCAGTATAGAACCGTAGAGGTTCACTTGTGTGGAAAGAGTCCTCTGATCCAGAGTCCTCTGTATTTTCTGTTCTTGAGTAATAATTATATTCATTAATGTGATTTGTGTTTAATTTATCTCAAAAGCAGAGAAAGAGAGATCTCCTACAGTCTCACTCTCTGATTCACTCCCCAAATGCCCACAACAGCTAGACCTGGGAACTCAATCTCCCACATGTGGATGGGCTATCACCTACTGCCTCTCAGATCATACATTGAGATCAAAAATAGAAACAGGACTCACCCCAGGTGTTTCAGGCTGTGAAAAAGGCCTTCCAAGTGACATGTAAACTGCTACACCAAATGCTCTCCCCTGATGACAGTGGATACCAGTACAGAACAGACTACACATGCAGCAGAAATCCTGGACTGGACCAGACCAAGGACTTGACCTTTATTTAGGGCAGAACCTGAGAACCAAATGTCGAGAATTCAGATAGATCCCATGGGAATGAGGGGGTGGAGGTGGTGGCAAAGTAGAGAGCTCAGATGCTGTGTAAAAGAAGCGGCTACAAGCCAGCACTTGTGATCGGGGGGCCTGGTGGATCCAGGTTTTCTGTTTTGGCCAGATTTTTTTTTTTTAAGATTTATTTTTATTATTTTTTTATTGGAAAGGCCGATATACAGACAGGAGAGATAGAGAGGAAGATCTTCCATCCAATGATTCACTCCCCAAGTGAGCACAACAGCCGATGCTATGCCGATCCGAAGCCAGGAGCCTCTTCTGGGTCTCCCACGCGGGTGCAGGGTCCTAAAGCCTTGGGCCGTCCTTGACTGCTTTCCCGGGCCACAGGCAGGGAGCTGGATGGGATGTCGAGCAGCTGGGACATGAACCGGTTCCCATATGGGATCACAGCATGTGTAAGGCCAGGACTTTAGCCACTAGGCTACCACTCCAGGCCCTAGACTAGTTCATTTTGAAAATTTTGCTTAAAAGGCATTTTCTACCCTAGGATTTTGATTTATTATATTGTTTAGGTATGTAGATCATTTTTCAGTTGGTCAGATTAATTGGGGGTTTTTTTGTTTGGTGTTTTGATTGCAGATGAAATTGTTGTAACTCACAGTAACTAAAATTTGAAGATGTGCAGTTTTGGTTTTTTTTTTTTTTAGTTCAGCCTTAGTAAAGATTTTTTAAAATATTGTCTTGGGAGAATAAAGCTGTCATATATATTTATGTTCTAAAGCTAGCTATTGACCTAACTTTAGTATTTTGTAGAGGAACTTATTTTTGTGTTAGTGCAAATTACTAAAAAAGAGAATAATACTTTCATTATTTTATGTGGAAAGACATGGTTCACATTCAGACCTTCTAAACTCTTTGTCACCATTCCAAGCCCAAGCTGCTAACGCTGTCCAAGAAAGCTGAAGGACTGGGCATCAGCGTCCGAATAACACACGCTCTTCCACGAGAAGAGAAGAATAAGGCTCACATTTAGCATTTGTACACAGAACTTCGGCTTTTTCTGAACGATGAGTTACTGCTGAGATCATAAGTGCCTTTTTAGGTTAATAATTTTAGAGGTTATCATCTGTGCTTTTAACCCATTCTTCTTCTTACTCTTGTGGGTGGCAAGAAATAGAAAGTATGAAAAGTGTGAGTGATGGTAAAAGTGATTAAGTTAATTTTAACGTGTGCTGAGCTTCAGGCACCGTGTTATCCTCCAGGTTGTTTTCATTACTTTTGGAGTCGGCCCTCATGCACAGAAAATGGTATAGAAACATTCTTTCTCCCTGGAAGAATATTTTCCTTTCTTCATAATTCCTGTTAGTAGTTGGATCAGGAATGCTGAGATAAAGTTTTAGTGCTTTGGGTTTGCCGAGATTCTCGCGGTTAGGAGATGAATGGAAATAGGGAAAGTATTCTAGGAAAAACAATTGCCTGAACTTTCCCTAACCTTGAAAGTCTGCTTTGGGTTTGGGTGCCGTATGGCAGCCTCTCAGCCTGAGCAAACTCCATTCTGCTGTTTTTCATCTGAAAGCAAATTTCTGACCGACTCTTAAGGCCAGTTCAGTTTTTAACATCGTGTTTGCCGTCGTATATGTCAAATGGACATTTTACAATGAGGTATGTGTTAGTCTGGGCATTTTTCTTAATTGCTGGGCAATTTCCGCCAAAAGCAACATCAGTATATTAATGCTGCCCTCCAAGTCATTGCTGGCTGAGAACATACTCCATCTGGAAAAATATCACATGTTTTATAACTTAGTGCAGTCAAGTAAACAGACCTAATCGAAATAATTACAGGAAAATGAAGATGGGTTTATCTTGTGACATCATCATGCAAACCAAGTTCACACCCTGTTTCCCCAACTGGCATCACATATTTTTCCATGATGGCAAGAAAAGGAATAGGAGGTTCTGTGTTTTTGAGGTTCTGTATTTTGGAACCTGTTAGATTTGAAACATTGAAGGGAAGTGACTAAGTTTCTCCATTTATTCGCCCTTTTCCAGTACAGAAATAGATGGAAAAACATGGCAGTAAAGTTTCTAGAATATAGTTTAATATTGCGCAGAACTCTAATGAAATTTATTGGTGAATGTGGGCAATAATGATAAGTGTATCGTTGCTTGGGGAATTGGTCAAACTATCCCTGGTACCTCTTTGGCATCAACACGGCTTCTACATTGGTGATTATTTGGCTACCAGTCTGTGGCATGTTCAGCATTTTCTTCTTTTTTTCTTCAATTTCCTTCTGGACTAGGGTGGTGGAATGTATACAGCTGTGCCTCAGATTGACCCTGTGGAATGCATTAGTTGTCGAAATTGTCGAAACAACAATAGGTATGTGACTATATATCTTTTCACAACTCGTGAATAAGCATTTATCACCTTTTCTTTTTTTCCAGCAAATGTGGTTCTTTAAATTTTCCCTGAGATATGAAGCTCAGAATTTGAAGCCTTAAGTTTAAGAGTTGTTACTAAGTTTTTACCCTGTTTTATAACTTCTAGCATTTTATGTCTTGGCTTCTGTAGACGGATGGTAACAGTATTGGTTTTTGTTCTGTATTGAAATACTGTTAAAAAGTGTGATGTTTCTGAAAATCTATTTTATCTGTGTAGATGTAATCTTTGTTTTACAAGATGTTGTGAGATGTTGGGGACAGGGTAAACCCTGTGTATAGTTAAATTTTTTCATAGTAATATTACTGAAAATTTCCTTCTAGAATATCCAATGGTTTCCTTTTTAGTTCTTAATATCTTAAGTAACAAAATCTTGCTATCTTTTCATTGATTTAATCTTAAGCTATATTTACTCACAGTATTTCAAAAAAGATAGGAATGTTGAATAATATCTATGTATAAATTTCAGTTGAATATTCAGAAAACCTTTTGCTAACTCTATAAACACGAATTCTCAAGAATCATTAGGTCTTTTGTTACATTAAAATGATGACAAATTGCAGTTCTTTTGCATATTGATAGTATTGGAATACATGGTCTCCTAAGTTCTTCTCAGCTCCAGAAGTACAGGACTAGAGAATTATGTTTTCGTTAACCCAAAAAAATAAAAAAAAGTGGAGTATGGATTTGAATTTAGATAATTCACTATTGCAATGGAGTCTGACTGGTAGTTTTAAAAGTTGCTTCCTACACCTGGTAAGTAGTTGGATGGATTTAATCAGAGCAGATGTTGTGGCGTGACTACATGTGTTCCTCCTGGTTCTTGTGGCTGCCAGCAGATGCCAGTTCTCCCTAGGTATTGGCATGGTGCTGTGACAAACCTCTAGCCTAAGAACGAGCAGACCTCTGCTCTGCTGTTGCCTGCACCTGTGATCAGGGAACGTTCTGTAATGCCTCTGATGCTACTTCCTTATCTGACAAATGGAAAGCTATCCTACATGAAATACGATTGCTCCCAGCATAATCTGATTGTAGGCTTTGGTAATTTTCTGCCACTCAGGTCTTTATATTGAGTTATCATCATTTTACTGACAGTGCATCCCATTTGCTGAAAATGATTTAATGTCATCTTGCATTCATTGTCATTTATGTGTGTGCATGGATGAGTGCATACTACCTAAAGATTTTTCTTATATGTAGCTTCCCCCCCCATATAAACCATTGCATTCCTATTAATTTTCAGATTGATGACTCCTGTATTTCATGGTTGGGGATTGTACTGCTAACTGGAATGTAGTTGAACTCTCTTGAGCTTAGGGAAATCAGCTGCTATCTCTCCCTGGCTTACATTTTATTTCTACACAAGAACATTGTGTAGAACACACCTTTAATTGCTTGCATTTCCTCTGTGGTTAGTCCGTGTCTCTCCTGGCTCCCAGAGCTGTTGCATGATTTGGACACTTACGGACAGATACGTGTTAATGAGGCCCTACTTTAATCTCTGGAAAAATCAAATGATCAAGTTTCACTCTGTTAACTCATTGAAAACATGTGTCTCACCTCAAGATCCTACAAAATGACAACACTGTAATAAACTTTGACTGCTGAGAAGTAGATAATACAGGTGCAGTTAAAAAGATTTATGGTAAAATTGTCCTAAGAGATAAGGTTAGTTTGGTCCAAGATTTTTCGAAGAACAAAGGTTTTCCACAAGATGTATTTCCACACACTTTTTTGAAATGTCCTTGTAAATATGACTTTATGCTGACGTACACAAAATTGAATCAACGTTTAAAAGCACGTGAGTTCCCTTTGTCTATGTGAGGGAATTGGATTAAATTCCTACCTCCTGGCTTTGGTCTGTAATAGGTACTTGGAGAATGAATCAGCATATACATTTATTTCTGTTTCAATTATGTAAAATAAAGAAGGATATGAAGTTCTTAAAGTAATCAAAAGGAGGAAAGGGGTTAAGCAGTTAGACACTGTAGTAGTAGAATCATCATTGTTGGGAAGCTTTTTAAAATTTCTTTTGAAGATTATTTATTTTTATTGGAAAGACAGTTTCACTGAGAGAAGGAAACACATAGAAAGGTTTTCCATCACTGGTTCACTTCTCAAATGACCACAATGGCCAGAGCAAGCTGATCTGAAGCCAGGAGCCAGAAGCTTCTTCATGGTCTCCTACATGGATGCAGGGTCCCAAGGGAGCTGAATGGGAAGTGAAGCATCCGGGACATGGACCGGTGCCCACATGGGATGCTTGTGCTTGCAGGTTGGAGGACTAACCAGCTGAGCCATTGCAGTGGCTGGGGAAGCTTTTTGAGGAGAGTGGTCTGTTTCAAGATGTGTTAAGACATGATGAGCAGTAGCAGTGCATAGCTTGTATTGGAGGAAAGATACCTGCTAAGGGTTGCTGTAACAAAGGCCTTGGACTTCATACAGGCTACGGATATGGAAAGGAAGAGATGAATGAACTTGCAGAGTTGGGGTCTTTAGGACTTGGCCATTGGCTGATAATGATGCAGAAAAGGAGAAGTTCCGCACATGCATAGTAAGTTTTAAATGTGGGTGATCAGGTCAGGGTTGTAGTCCATAGAAATAAGAAAACTAGATGGTAATGTTGAGCCAAAGTGACTCAATGGCTTATACATTTATAGTTCAAGAATCAGTTGTTATATTGGGCAAGGGATCAGATTAAAGTGCTGGTCATGCACTCAAGGGGTAAATAGGAGCCATAATACAGATTTAGGACCATTTTTATTTTTATATTTTATTTTTTCATATTTAAAATACTTAAAAATTTTGCATTTTCATGTGACCCTTAGAAAACAAATCTTGATAAATTGTTGTGTTCTGACTGCATATATAAATGTGATAGGACTTAAAAATGAATGAAATCACCAAGGGAGACAAGAGGCATGGCTGATTTTTATGTGTTTTATTCTTTGGGGTATTTATTTGTCTTTGTTCCTTATGTACTCAAAATAATTAGAGATTCTTTTTTATAAAAAGTCATCTTTCTCTCATCTCACTCTTCTGCTCATTGCCTTGACATGTCTTCAGGGAAGAGTAGAGATGGGAAGAGAAGAAAGAAATAGAAGTGTGAGAGAGCAGAAGAGAACTTACTCTTTGATTCATTCAGCAAACCTTTGTTGAAGCTCTCATGGGCCATGCAGCAGGCTAGCTGCTGGGGACATGGAGATGGGTGCCAGGGCATTGTTGCTTACAGCCTGGTAAAGGAGCTCTGTCTTTCTTGTAAGAGAACATACATCATAACACTGAATTAAAACTGGATGCTTTGAAGTAAAGGATAAAGGAAAGACTTCTTCAAGCAAGTGACATTTTGCCAGGCTCTGAAGAATTTATAAAACATGGCATGAGGGAAAGGAACAGTTAAACTTTCCACTTAGGAGTTCCATTGTGTGCAGTCCCTAAAGCAGAGTACCTGAGTGCTCAGAATTTCGAGAGATCCCATCTAACCAGGGACCTTGTAAGTGAAGGGATAAGAGCTCAAACCTGAATAACACCAGATCACACAGAACCAGACCAGTGAATGATGGGGACAGGACCACACAGTGGAAGAACTCAAGCTTTCAAGAACACTCTAGGGCACTGGCATTGTGGCATTGCAGGTAATTTGGCTGCCTGCGATGCCCGTATCTGCTCCCCACATAGGAGACCCAGATTAAGCTCCTTGCTTCAGCCTGGCCCAGCCCTGGGGAGTGAACCAACAGATGAAAGATCTCTTTCTATCTATTTCTTTATCTCTAACTCTGACTTTCAAATAGCTAAATGAATCTTAAGTGTCTCCCTCCCCCAGTTGGGTAGTTTGGAGGATAAATCAAATAGGATACAAGAGGATACTATGGGATCTTTTAGATGTTAGTTGCAGTTGTCTCAAAAACAGTGATATTGACGCAGGGAGAAGTCTGAATTTGAGAGATTCAGGATTTAGGGATAGGAGAGGCTGAGATTTTTTTTAAAAGATACAAAAACTGGATTGAACATGTCAGTGGAAGGAGGGATTATGGCTAGGTCCAGGAAACCAGGTGTAATCATTGAGCTTGGAAAAACTGCAGGGGACTTACCTCCTATTGTACTCTTGAGGGTCACTCTTAAATTTAGGGGCACCTCATTAAATTGGCCAGTGTTACTTCACAGACAGCTAAGACCCCAGGAAGTCTTGCCTAGGCTTCTTCCCTGTGAATTCTTTGTGCTCTGTGCCCTGCCAGTCCCTTCTCAGCTGTAAACGTAAATGTATTTCTTGCTTGGGCCTTTTTTGGTAATGTGTTGAAGGTGACTACTTGCCTGTCTCTCTTCTTTTATCTTGAACCTGTTTCAGGCTTTAAGGATAATAAGCTCAATGAACAGCTCAGAAATGGCCTAGTTCATGCAGTTTTACAAAGTTAGCCAGACTTCTATGCTAAACAGTTGAGACTACTGGTGCAATTTGGGCCTTTTGCGAGCTACACAGGTTTCCATTAAGCCAGTTAAAAGCTTGCTACCCACCTCCTCTCTTCTGTTCAGAAGGCAGTGATGCAGTTCTGGATATGTAATCAAATGTGGTTTGTCTGTTGTTCAGCTAGTTTAATGAGAAGGGATTGACATTAAATTGTCTGCTCACCATCGGTCTTGGTCATTGGTAAGTGAGAGAGAGGACACTGATGAAATTCACAGATGGATGAACTAAGAGGTCCCCTCCGGAAGGAATGAGAAATTAACTTTAAGGGTCCTAGAGAGACTGCAAATGGGCAGGAAGTGGCCAACCAAAAGTCAGCGGGGAAAAATGTATGTAATTCATTTGGGGAAAAAAGTACAAACTACCTGGCTGACAGTCAAAAGAAGAATAAAACTATTGGGAACAGTCCTTTGGAAATCACAGATATTGCCATAATTTCCATGGTTTTGTGTAATGCTAACTTTACACATGTATGTGCTGCTGGATTTGAGAATGCTCAGTGTTTTTTTTTTCACCAACTTGAAGCCCTCCCCTGATGTCAGATAGTCAGGGTACTTCAGAAAGTTCATGAGAAATGAAGTTTTAAGTTTTAAAGTTTTAAAATGTTTCTTTGTTGAGAAAAAAATGTTTAAACCTGTACATACAAGGGTTCTTTCAAAAAGTGGACAGTGTATCTTATAAAAAACTATACACAGATTTCTAAATTTGTTTGCATGAAAATAAACTTGTCTTTTAATTCCATTTCCCATAACTTGAGGTATATTCACTATATGTAGAACTGAATATGAGAGCACTTAATTATAGTAGTTTTTCAGACCTACAGTTTGGTCAATACAGTTTGTTAGGATTGAAACAACCACTTTTCTAACACATGTAAACTTTTTCTTCCAGAGTGTCTTTTTTTTTTTTTTAAGTCTATTTTTATAAGTCTATTTTAAGTCTATTTTTATTTGAAAGACAGATTTGAAAAAAAGAGGAGAGAAAGAGAAAAGAGATCTTCTATCTGCTGGTTCACTTAACAAATGGCCACCATGGCCAGAGCTGAGCTAACATGAAACTGGTAGCTAGAAGCTTCTTCTAGGTCTTCCATGTGGATGCAGGAACCTGAGGGTTTGGAGTATCCTTCTCTACTTTCCTAGGCCTTAAGCAGACAGCTGGATTGGAATGAAGCAGGTGGCTCCCATATGGGAGGTTCGTGCTGTAGGGTGGAGGATTAGTGGGCTGTTCCACTGTGTCAGCTCTGTGGTGTGCCAGGATTTCAGAATTCAATCTCTTCACTATTTCTGACCACATGGCTACTTCAGAACCAACTGCAGAGCTAATGAAGGAAACACAGCCTGAGACCCAGCCTCTCCACTGCCAGTGTCCCAGAGAAAAGGGGCCTCACTTTCCAAACTGATTAATATCTTTCTTAGGGTGTCGTTGTTTATTTTCCCAAATCTGTTGCCTACTTCTGCTGTGCAGGCTGAGGAATTGTGGTCAAAATGTCAGGAAGAAGTGCTTTTGGTCTTGTGTTTATCAGCTTGGATATACATCAACTTGCCACATTTACCCAACATTTGTTGTTATTTTTATGTGACAGTTACTGATAAATCTCCCCTCCCCTCCCTCTAATGCTGGGGCCATTGCATCATCCAACAGATGACAGTGCAGCAGGGTGGAGAGGAGAACCATGGCCTGGGAGGATGCCATCAGGTCATCATGTCCTGCTGCACAGTAACTCAAGAATCACACCATGACCCCTGCCCCACTGCAGAGCAAGGGCTGAATCAGCAGAACGACAGCCCCAGGCACAAGAGGAGGTAGTGGAGGAGAGCTGCGTAGTAAAATGAGCTACCATCAAGATGTAATTATTTCTGGAGTCTCAAGAGCTAATTCCTGAAAATACTATCACACCACCCGAGAGATTTGCGGGGAGTAAGTAGTTTGCCTTCTAGGGATAATCAAAAGAGGAAATGTACAGGGACTCCTATAATCATCCAATTAGAGTAATTCTGTATATAATCATACTTAACAAATACCCAGCTGTGTAATCAGAAATAGAATACTTCTCTAGAAATATTACAGAGGAGCTGCATAATTTTAGAGAAATATCCAAAATATGTTGATGAAACTGTTAACACGTTTTTTTCTTCCAAGTATAACTCCACACGATTCTTCTAATCTTTGCTATTTCCTAATCTGTGCTATTCAAATTACTGGGTGAAAAAAAGTATTTTTGTGTGATAGGTTGGAATAGAGTCATTTTCTGTCTTGTGGATTGGCCAAACAGGCCTTTCCTGTTTACTAAATGGCATCTTGGTAAACTACTAAGGTCCCAGTCTGCCTAAATTCTTACAAAATAGCACAGATTTGTGTATGAGGTAGAAGGCACAGAGTTCCATTGATTTGGTGTTTTTCAACTTTAAAAAGTGGTTTCACTGAGAAAGAGACTGCTCAGTGAAAACATTTACCTTCTGCCAGTAGTAGCTATGTTAGAAACATCATTGAGAAGACAGTGCAATTATAGACTGTTCGCATCGCATGAACTCTGAAATGGACCTTACCAGAGCATCTTACCAATTGTTGTGGATTTGCAGGCACTTATCTTTTTTGCTCTAAACTCTTGTAGATCTCGGTCTCTTTACATTTTTACAGAAGCTATTTGTGTAATCATCTGATTATTTGAGGAATTTAAGCTGCAGAGCTGTCATTAAAACAGTTGCTGCCACGTGCTACACCTGATTATCTTCAGGTCGGAGCTGACGTACGTGCATGTTAAAGCCTGTGTCCCTTGTGCTCTATCTCAACATGGCACACCCAAGCGAAAGCCATTTTTGGTACTGACCTGAAATTAAACTAAGTATAATGTAAGCAAATCATTTACCTTTGGTTAGCTAGGTGGCTAATTATTGGTGATTATGACTTATGACTGAAGCTACCAGAAAGTTTCACACCCATGTGGGTTGTCATGCTGAAATTCAGGTATTAATCACTTTGCAAATCGAACTCAAATTAATGATCTCACTGTCACCCCGCTCTAGACATTGAATCCCAGTTCAGAATAAAATTCAGCACTGCTACCACTCACCAGAAAATCAGGAATTGGCAGTGGAATTCGTCCTGTCTTGATAGGTAGTCCTGTGATGTCTTTCAAAGCAGACATGTATTCAGCATGCGTGTCTGCACCTGTCTCGCGCCACCTCGTCAGTACTATCATCATGCCTGGTGCAGAGCCTGTGCTCATGTTGTCCCGTCTGAGTCACTTTATTATTCTGATAAAATCGCCATGTAGTCAAACTCTTGGGCTGCCTTAGACGGCATTCACAAATCTCATCCTGCAATTTTGCTTCAAGTTAATGACAAGAGCAGCAGAAAAGAAACCAGAAGGAATGAAGCATGAGGACTTAAGGCATCTCGTTGTCTGGTGAGTCGTCCTTATTCTTCTGTGTCAGCATGAAGAAATTCACTCCTGTTGGGTGTGTGTGGGCAGATTATTAATTTACAACGTTGTGTTTGTAGGGAACTGCCCAGGTTTTCCAGTTTCTGGCAAGCGCCTTGCCAAAAAGTGGAGCATCACAGCAGAAGCCTGTCACGCAGTGTCCCACCCCTTCTCTGTTGGAGGAGGTTCAGCAGCACCTGACTGTGCTGTCTCCGAGAGCACTCCATCACACGCTGAGGACAGTCATTGCCTCACACAGCCGTCCAGGTCAGACGACCTCAAAGCCACCAGCTGCCACACCATGCTAGAGACTGGAGGATCAATCTTGAACGGGCACAGAGAAGACTGACACTCAGATGCAAGATGCTGAACAGGTGAGCACTTCAGCCCATCCCCCTGAAGTGCATGGGCAGTTACAAACACCAATTAGTTTCATTATTGCTCCTCAGTCATCTACTTATTGCTCGAGGAAAAAGGATATTAAAAATGTCTGATGTTTTAATGCTTTTCTAGTTGTAAGAAAGTTTTTAAGTTCCACTGGATGCCATTTACTAGGAGGGCACTTTAAAAATTTCATGAAAAATGGAATTACAAGTTGTAAAAAAAATTGAAAATACGTGCATATGAGGCATCCTTCAGAAGGTTAATGAAAAATGTGTATTGTGGAAAAAAAAGTGTGGATTTCAAAAATTATTTGCACCAAAATAAACTTCTGTTTTAATTTCAGTTTTCTATGAACTTTTTGGAATACTGGTATATGTATGTGGTACTTTAGTTACAGTCTAATGTAAATTAGTACTTTGATCACTTCCTAGGAAGTACGAATATTGTAGAACATTTGACTTCCATTTTTCCATCCTCTGTTGTTATTTTTGTCTTATATTTTAATTGTAAAAATACTTAAGATATTGTATTACAAGGCCTGGTGCCATGGCTCAGGAGACTAAATCTCCATCTTTAAGCACTGTCATTCCCATATGAGCACAGGGTTCATGTCCTGGCTGCTCCACCTCCAATCCAGCTCCTTGCTTAGAGCCTGGGAAAGCAGTGGTAGATGGCCCAAGTCCTGGGGATCCTGGGTCCACCGGAGACCCAAAAGAAGCTCCTCGCTCCTGGCTTTGCATCGACTCAGCTCCAGCCATTGCAGGCATTTGGGAAGTGAGCCAGTGAATGAAAGATCTTTCCTCTCTGTCTCTCCATCTCTCTGTAAATCTGCCTTTCCAATAAAAATAAATAAATCTTTAAAACAAAGAACAAACCCATAAACCACAAAAAATAGTAAGATATTACACTTTTCTTAGTAGTTAGTATTTATTAGCATCCCTTGCATGTTTTGTTGTTGGTACTCATTCCTTTCTGTGTTTTCTAACTTGCATTGGTTCCTGCTCATTTTTCTTCAACTTGAAGGACTTGTTATAGTATTTTTTTTTCTTTCTTTCGTTCTCTCTCTCTTTTGTTTGTTTATTTTTTGTTTTTGAAAGGTGGGAAGAGAGCTCACATCCAGCATTTCGTTCCCTAAATGCATACGATGTCAGGGACTGGGCTGGGCTGATGGTGAGAGCTGGGAACTCAGTCAGTTCTTTCATGTAGGTGGTAGGGGCTTAACTCTTTGAGCCATTCCCTGTTACTGTCCAAGGTCTACATTAGTAAGAAGATGGGATTAGGAACAGAGCTATATTTGAACCCAGACACTTCTGTGTAGGAAGTTCCTTCACTGTCATCTTAATTCTAGGTCAAATTCCTGGCCCCTTTTTAATATTTCGTGTAGTGCCAATCAGGATGACAAATTTATCCAGTTTTTTGTTCTAAATATGACTTGATCTTTTTGAAGGATTTTTTTTCCTTCAAATTCATTTTATTTGAAAGGCAGCATTTCAGAGCTTATTTTCTACCTTTTCAGGTCCTTAGCAGGGAGCTGGCTCAGAACTGGAACAGCCAGGCTTTGAATCAGCGTTCTGATATAGCATCATAGCCTGCAGTTTAACCCATAGTGTCACAGCGCCAGCCCAGGAATTTTGTTTTGTTTTGTTTTGTTTTGTTGTTCCCTTTGTAAGAGCTACTCAAGGAGGGAGACAGAAATCTTCCATGTACTGGTTTATGCCCCAGATGACTGCAATGGGTAGGGATGTGCCAGGTTGAAGTCAGAAGCCAGGCGTCTCCTCTGGGTCTCCAACAAGCGTACAGGCACATGGGCCATCTCCTGCTGCTTTTCCCAGACCATTAGCAGGGAACTGGATCAAAAGTAAAGCAGCCAGAGTATAAACCAGCACCCATGTAGGATGCCTGATCACACACAGCAGTTTTTCTCGGTATGCCACAGTGCTGGCCCCAGGAACTCAAGAACTATTTCCAAGAAATCATGGTAGCTGGATAAATTCATTTAAACAAAGATGGCTCTTAACTTTCAGCATCAAAAACCTGCTAACTCTAATTTGTAATTGTTATTGAATGTACTTTTCAGTGATTGAGATAATGAGGCTGATACACTGTGGGAAGTACGTTCTCCAGCTAGAAACTTAGGGGCTACTTTGCTCTCCACAACAGCACACCCGAAACTCATGTCATGGTTTAGCCCTCCCAGGGCCCAACATTTTCATGTTAAGCGAAACCACTGTTTCCTGGTCTGTGTCCTCAGCTCTACTGGTGCTGGAACTCTGTTTTGTGTGTGCCTGCCTATTTTGAGTGCCTACTATAGAACCTGACATTTGGAAAGTATTCAGCAAAGATTTCTTTTGAGTAATAGGTTCTTCTACATAAGGTTATTTCTATAGATGGCGCATAGTCATTAAATTCTCAGTAGTAGTAGTTTGAATCCAGAAAAGTTAGCCGCTGCACTGCTGACCTTGCCACGTGTTCAGTGTCTGGATTCCACGAATGGAATGTGTTCAGTGGCCAGCAGGGGGTGGGGAGGAGCACAAGGGACTGACAGTGAAAGAGAAGACAGACACTGCTAACGTGCCCACCCTTGCCAGGATCGCAGAGAAACTGTTGAAGCTCAGGACTGAACAAACTGCACCATGGAAAGGCTCAGGATGTCCTGGTCTTGTAGGCTCATGTCCCAGCCAGCCTTGTGCTTACTGAATTTCCAGGGACTTCCAACCCATTACTTTTGGGTCATATTTAAAACAGACATGTATTTTATCTTAGATCATTGAAAGTTAAAATTACAACTATATTAATATGATAATGCTTTGAGTAAATTTTTCTGTATACACGAATACTTAACATTCTTTGCTTTCAATTCCAGATGATTGGTGTCTGAATTCCAATAACCGCAGAGTGAGTAGATTTCTCCATTTGAAATTAAAATTGAATCTATTTGAATTAAAGATTTGGTTTACTGACAGATATCTTATTCTCTTTCAGGTACATGTCTGTGTTCATGTTTAGCACTTGGCATCTCCAATAATTTGAATCAACAGAGCTGCTAGTAGGAGTTACATGGACTTCCTTTTACAGATTTCCATAATGTTACCCCACAAAACTGACCACTGCGTGAAGTATGAAAATCCAAAGAATTCTTGCTTTTATTTTCTAATGTTGCCTGGCTCCAGCATATTACTGATCTTACAAAGTCAAGTGCAGCATTCTCCCCAAGCTTCTCTTACTAATAATTTTAGAAATAATGACATCTAATAGGGGGGGAATAGTTTGATCATCAACAGTAAATAATGATAAAGTTTGACAGTTTGAAAATATTGCAGAATAACCAGAAGTAGGAAGATACTAAAATGTCTGAGCTTCAAAAACAGCATGTGAGATTTGTGGATTTTTGCCAAGGGAAATTCTCCAATCTATAGGCAAAGAGCCAAGCAGAAGACTGAGTTTTATGTCAACAGAACAAGCAGAAAATTAGACAAAAATAATAGTTTGAAAAGAAAAAAAGATGTGTAATGCAAAGAAACAGAAAATTGAAATTCTAAAAGGAAAAAAGAAAACTAATAGAAACAGACCCTGAGATGACCCAGATTGTCACAATTAGCAGCTGTTACAAATTGTTCAAAAACTTGAAGGATAATAAATGGACATACGGGGAATTCCAACTGAGAAACAGGTTTTTAAGAAAAGAGGAAAAATGTTTTAGGCTGAAAAGTGCGGTCACTGGAATGAGATGTTTTCTGGATGAGCCTAACAGCAGACGGGAGACCACAGAGGAGGAAACAGTGAACTGCGTGATAAACCGGATGAAGCAATCGGTCTGAAGAACAGAAAGAACGAATGCTTTCAGATTCCTAGGTGAAGCAGAAAATAAAAGTTTAACAGAATCAAGCTGAGATACTCAATAAATTCTGGCAATAATGCAATGGGAAATATTGTAAAAAATAATAATAAATCCTAAATTGTGAACATTTCGTCTTTATTGTTATCGCCAGGAATTAGAAGAAACATGCCGTTTGATTTCAAAGCTATGCGTTTTATAGATTTTCATAAAGTGTTTTCTCTTACATGGTTGTAGGTTTCTTCGTTTTCTGTCTTCCTCTTTTTCTCTGTCCTTACCGCCTAGGAGCTAATGATGGCTTCCTTCTGTGTGGCGTGTTTGAAAGCCAGTTGATAATGAAATGGTAGACAACTGACAGTGGACCAGAAGCAAAGCAAGCATATACAAAAGGTCTTCAGAGGTGCCTTTCTTAAGTGACTTGTCTTTTGATGCATTTTTCATTTGTATTACTGCTTGAGATTTTTGAATTCTTAGCATTTCAAATCATAGCAAATGATTTACTAATGTTTAAGGATCAATCTTTAAGAATTTGTCCATGAAAAATACCAAATGAGATTTCAAAGTTGAGCTTATTGCCTTCAACCCCCAAGACACAATTCTGTTTCTTTTGGTTTGAACCCTGCAGGTGTTTCACCAAAGCCAACAGCACTTTGAGCAGCGGCCCCCTTCCTGTGGTTCCCATGGTAGCACCTTATCCCCAGGATGGTTTGGAGATGAAAGCCCTGGGTCACATGACGATGCCTGTGTGCCTGGCTTCCACCGCGCCTGAGGGAAGCAGTGAGGGCAGCGTGGCACCAGTTCCTAGCCTGCATGCTTGCTGTCGGGACAGCACTCGTGATGCCAACCCTGCAGAGTTCAACAGAGGTATGGGAATGTGATGGACCTCATTTCCAGATCATCCGCAGTGAGCTAAAACCTGTGAGGGGATACAGTGCCTTCAGGGCTTTGTAGGACTAGCTCAAATCTACCCCTTCCCCACCTCCAAAGATAGATAGATTCATTCATTCATTCATTCATTCATTGGAAAGGCAAAGTGGTAGAGAGAGGGATATAAAGAAATTGAGATCTTCCATCTACATTTTTACTTCCCACATGGTCACAATGGCCAGGGCTGAGGCCTGGCTGAAATCAAGAGCCTGCAGTTTCATCTGGGTTTTGTATGAGGGTGGCAGAAGCCCAAGTATTTGGATCGTAATCTGCTGCTTTCCTAGACATGTTAGCCAGGGAGCTATATTGGAAGCAGAGCAACTGTTGAGTCAGATTGGTGTTCTGATATGGGATGCTGGCATTGCAGATGGCAGCTTAGCTTACTGCAACACAGTGCCAGTCCCAGCTCATGTCTTTCTTAAGAGCTAGTCAGGATGCTTCAAGAAGATAGGACTAGGGCTGGTACTGTGGCATAGTAGGTTAGGCATCTGCATGTGGTACCAGTATCCCATATGAGCGCTGGTTTGTATCCTGACTGTTCTAATTCCAATCCCGCTTCCTGTTTATGGCCTGGGGATGCAGCAGAGGATGGTTCAAGTCCTTGGGATATTGTACTCATATGGGAGACCCAGAAGAAACTCCTGGCTCTGGATGTCAGGTTGGCTCAGCTCCAGCTTTGTGGCCACTTTCAGGAGTGGACTAGCAGATGGAAGATCCCAGTCTCTGACTCTCCTTTCTGTATAAGTCTGCATTTCAAATAAAAATATTTAAAAGACCAGGCAAAGTAATCTTTGCAATTTTTTTTTTACTTATACCCTCACCACAAGCTGTTCATCTCATCACATTTTGTAGGTTATGTTCGAATAGGCTCTGATTCAGTTTGTACCTGAACATATGACTTGCTGGAAGAATGGGTTTTGTAAACATTGGTCTCTTTTTAATTAACCTTGGTTCTGGAGTTGTAGTAGCCTCTCTTGTGGTTATGTTGGGACTTTTTTAAAGAGATTTGGTTTCATCCTAGACGAATTGTATGACTAGTCATGAAAGCACAGCTTCCCAGTCTTTTAAACCCACTGTCTCCCTCACGCTCAAACCAAACATAACTAGGTTCTGCTTTGGCTTATTATGTTTTCTTCACTGCCCATAACGGTGTTCTTAAAATCAGTCTTTCTCTTCTCACAACACTCCCAAATGTTTCTGCTTTTCAGGAGACAGCTGTGTCCGCTCAGAAACAGAGAGTAAAACTTTAAGTTGGAATCCTCCCGCTTTGCCACCAGTCTCAGAGGATGGAGCAGAAGAGACAGCTTGGTCTCCCCCTGGTGTTCCTCCGGACAGCCCGTCAGGGGTCCTTCAGCAACCCCAGGGGACCTGAGGATTTGCAAAGGACCAGTCTTTGGACAGCCCGTCAGGGGTCCTTCAGCAACCCCAGGGGACCTGAGGATTTGCAAAGGACCAGTCTTCCCACTTCAAGACAGCAACTGCACAGAACCGACTTGGGAATGAACTGTGTGAAGGACATTAATTCAAATCAGAGAAAATCATTATTTATTTTTTTTGTAGTAGTGGTGTCATATGAATGTACCTTAAAATGTGTGCCCTTTGATATTATTTATGCCTTAAATCTTTCCTTTTCTGTCCTTTCCTCCCCCTTGTTTGCATACTTCTTGGTCATATGCAGAGCTAAGGGGTCATTCCGTATTTTCCAGCAGCCTTGGTGACAGTGAAAGTTCCTCCCGCCTGGGATCCAGTCTGCTGGCTGATTTCGCTAGGCGAGGCTTACACCAGCTGTCTGGAGTTTGCAATCAGATAGACTGTCAGATGGAAAACTACCTTCCAGTGTTGTGGTAGCAGACTTTGAGAGAACATTTTGAAATCAACCTCTTGTGGCCTCACATGTGCCATAGCAGATCTGGCTGATGAGTTTTCTGAGTGCCTGCCACACATGTGGTCATGTGACCTGTTGGCTTTTCCATCCATGCCCGGGCACAGGTGATGGTCTAGGCAGTGGCCATGTGTGCAGTGTTGTATATGGTCTGATTGGATCACTGCAGTGTGCAGAAAGGGAGCCAGAGGAAAAAATACTGCCTCTGTAACTGCTTTAAAATTAGATGCATTTATAAAATGGTTATGGTAGGGCTATTTTGTGATTGTTTCTAAAAGTAGGGGCCAAGTGAGGCTATCCGGCAATGGCCTGAAGAGAAAGATCCATGCTGCGTAATAAAAAAGAGGAGGGCTCCAGGCCCGATGTGACGGCAGCTCTTCTGTGTATTCCTTCCTTCAGTCCAGAGTCATGAGATCACGCCTCCGGAAAACAGCCATTTTCTTGCTGCCATGTGAACAATATAGCCTGAAAGATGTGCTGGGCAAGACTTAATTTAGAGGAAAGGGGTTTTTAAAAAAAATTTTTTATGCAATGTTTTTCAGAACATCATCATTGTAAATGGGCACGTAGAGCTTCGGTTAGCAGAAGTCAACAGAGTGCAGTTACTGTTGCCTCTGAGGGCCATGCCTTGCCTTGGTGTTCCTGAGCTTGAGTCAGGCACTCACGGCACACTGGTCCTTTTTGGATTTTGCCTGCATTGGAGGAAAGAAATAGAAAAATTATCCTCTTGATGTAAAGGCGATCAGTTCCAGCACTAGTGTTAACCATTTACCGTTTCCCAGAGGTCACAGTGGAATGGAATAGCAGACTATGTTAATCAGCTTCTGTCTAAGTGCATTAGTATTCCCTATGTCTATATATTTTATAAGTAGAACTTTTTGTGAAGATGTGCTGTTTAAGCTTGGTACTATGCAAGGCTGTGTTTCCCGGAAGAGTTAGGTGACTATACTTTCATAGTCGGGTGTTAGAGATGCTGTCGAAGCAAGTTCTACATTCCAGATGTCTGTGCCTGTAGGATACTAGATGTGGAGGGAGATAGCTGCATCCATTGCTTCTGTGACAAGCGAAGGACACAGTCCTGGTGGGTAGACAGGTCAGGAACCCATGCCCGGTGCTTGCCATTCAAGTTAGAGCAGAGCTGTCACCAAGGGGGTTTTGGAAAGCCGGGAAATGTCCTTAGAGAGTCATTTTGATTCAGGAAACATGTGTATCAGCATGAGCCTTAGGTCATAAACTGCTTTTAAAATATTGAGTTTGATCCTGGGACTTGTCCATAAGGAATCGAAAATGACTTTACCATTAGGGCAATCTCATTGTGGACTGCTTTATTTATATTATTAGTAACGCTGTTTTAAGTGTTATCCCTTTTATTGTATTTTATTTATAAAAATGCCTTTATATATTGAGTTATATAAATATAAATATATATATATATAAAATTGTGTTTATGTTTAGGAGTTACGAGTTTTCCCTCAGTGTGAGTTGCTCTGAGTTGTAATACCCTGCACAGTCACTCTAAACAGTCCTACCTAATGTTACTTTGTCAGGAAATGAGACTGCCCAGTATGTTATGGGAGAAAGCACTAGCATTGGTTGAGCAACTGCTAAGGACCAGACACAGAACTTGGGACCAGTTGCTGCTAGCTCAGTCAAGCCTGACAACAAATGTTAGGCGTTAAAATCCCCAAGCCATACAGCAAGCCACTGAGCCTGAACCCGAGCCCAGTGCCTCTGCAGCTATAATCTGTGCACCTCCTGTTTTTCCATACTGCTTTCCAGAAATCTTTGTGGTTCACAGTCACCATTTCTGTTGTTTGCCTCTGCTGTGCGATCCCCTTGAGGCTGCAGCACTAAAGGCAGAGGAGCAGTTGCCCTCCAGCCTACATGGGCAGGCCAGTCTGCTCTGCTAGGAGTCCACGATTCCCCCCTCAGCAACTCTTATCCTTCTCCCTGCCCAGAAATTCATTCAAGTCAGTGATCCTGAAATTGGTCAGACTCTGTAACATTCCTTCCCATCGTAGAATTCTGGGTGATTTTGTTTGATCATCCAACTTCCACACTCTGCCCACATCCATTCACTCTCTCCTTTTTCTTCTTTTGGACTTTCTTATGCACTGATAAGTCTGGGCATGGGTGCTACACAGGCTGTGAGTTTCATTGCAATATCCTATCCCTTTTGAAGTGGTCTTTACAAGAAACTTGTGTTTCTGATTTTTGTCAAATTTGTCAATGAAGACTAATGTGTCCATCCTGGGCTGAACTTGCCAGAGATCTCATTCCAGCTACAGCACTGCCAAGCAGCTAAGTTTAGGATTGGATTTCACCTGTGTTGCTGTCTTTTAAAGCAGTGACTTCGAAATGCATGTTTTGTATCATAAAAAGCATGTTTGATTTTCCTAAAAGTTGTAATATTATGTTTGAAACTGTACATAGTTGAAATGATGTAGCGTTGACAGGTTTTATTGGGTTGATACTATTTTCTATTAAAGAGGATGCTGCTTTCATGTGGAGTAGCCTGTAAGATGGGCTCTTCAGATGCCCCCTGTTTGTACAAAGCTGTTGATGGTTTGGGGTTGCGTGGGGGTGGCAAGTGCCTTACTCTGAGACTCTTGGGATCCTCCACCCTGTTGTGAAATCCCCTGTGTATACCCCAGAGCCCAGTGAGTTTAGACCCTCTTCTGTTGACTGCAGAAATGGGACTGAACCAGAGCAAGACCTTGGTCAAGGATCTGATAGAAGTGCCTCCAGATTGCCTCTACCTGTACCTCAGCATTTCTTTGGAAGGAAAAGAGAAGGTGGGTGGGAGGGTTGGAGAATGAGGCTAGGTCTGTGTCACAGGTCATCTATGTTTACCATTAACCAAGGGCATCATCCAGGCGCTCCAGGGGAGTGATTCAGTCTTCATAAATGGAGCGGCTTTGTCGAAGCTTTCTTTGACTTAAGAGGCCAACAGATAGTCTCTAGTATGGCGTGTAGTCCCTTTGTGCTTGGTTTCCCATGTTTCACTAAGCTGTGCCTTGGCTCCAGTCCTGAGAGCTTGGAGGGACGCTGAACCCTGTAGTCTAGGAAATCCTGAATCTGTGAGAATGGAGGAGGCCCCTCCATTCCCTTGGTGTTTTCATCCCTTTCCTTGCTGCTGCCAGATATCCCCCCTGCCCTCTGGCTGTTCCTCCTCATGAGTGCCCTGCCGAGGCAGTTCCAGGGCCTGACTCCTAGTCAGTTGAACAAGCCTTTGTTTGTGCTTCGCCCAGCAGTGCAGATGCATGCACACTCTTGGAGCCAGTGAGTCATGCTGGCAGCTACCGAGTGTGACTTTGGAACAGCCACAGTGTTCCACAGCCAGCTCCCCTGGGCTGGGAGGTGGGACACGATACCTGTAATTCTTGTGCTCTAGTTCTTGCCGGCCCAATCTCCAGCAGCCATGAGCTTCCCAAACTGCAGCTCAATAAAGGATGTAGTCCACCACACATCCCTGCTTTCCACGCACACAGCCTGGACCCCTGCCACCCACCCATGCAAGCTGCAATTTATGGAGTCTGGTACTAGCAAGAATGGGAGACATGATTTATTTGGGGATCTCCCTACCCACAGACTTGTTTTCTGGAAACAGCTGCCTGTCATCCGCCCCCGGCACCAGAGACACTTGCCAGTCCTGTCGCTTCTGCTTGCCCTCACATTCCCGGAGAGCCTTTGCTCCAGGTGTGTGTCTCCCTCCTCCCATCTGGGCTGGGAATTCTCTTGTAATCCAGTCACTTAGGGGGCGAGACAGCTGTGCCTGACACAGATGTAAAACCTGGTTATCAGGGAAGAAAGGGGTAGTTAGTGTTTTAACCATCTTGGTTTGCAGACCCACTTCTGGCAGAAGAGATCTCTGCCCTCTGCACCTTGCTCTTTGACCTCTCATGGTGTTGCAGTCACTGTGATGGTGACATTGATGGGAGCATCACTGGATTCTTGCGCAGGGTCTGGCCCTGGGGTGGCGACTGCTGTTTCGGTGCCTGCAGTGTGGGCCAGGGAGAGAGATGCCATGGGGATGTTCTCCAAGGACGAGAGAAACTGAGCACTGCACAGACCCCAGCCCCGTCACTGCGATGGAGATGTGTTCACCTGCCTGTGCCTCGCTGCTTCCTGGTGGGCCCCTCCGGTGCTGTCTTGCCTCCCTGAGGGTGAAATGAGAGTGAAGTTATCTGAACCACCCAAGTCTTCCTTCCCCATGAAAGCAAATTCTTGACCCCCACAATAACGATTCCACACTCACGTGGGAACAAGCCACTGGCCAAGGCCTGTTGAAAGAAAAAGGGAGCCGGTCATTATTCCATCAACCTGATGTAGATCCCAAGAGAGTCACCACCCGATTCTCCACCACTGCTTTCTCAGTGGACTCCCTATTTAGCCTTGGGCAATGGCCCCGGTTGCCTGAAGTTGAAGCTCAGGGTCCCAATGGGCAAAAACCAGTACTGGAGAGGGAGTCATGATTAAGGAAGAGTCTGGAATCAGGATGGGTCTCTGCCTGGCCACCCTGCAGAGCTAAGTAGCCCCACCCTACAGAGTCCCACTCACGAGGGAAGGTCTCCGGATGCCGGGCAGCATACTGGAACAGCAGTAGAGAGGCCACCGTTGCCGCCACTATTCCTGTGCCTGCTGCGG